TTGACGAATGCACTTTCTTGACTACTGCATCCACTCTCTTAGACATGTAATGTCATCTCATTCCCCAAACAGCAATCCCGCGTTGTTTCGGTGGGTTTGTGGGGTTTTGCTCTTTTTGTTTTCACTTTCATGCTTCTGAATCTGACATGTCGTGCTTTTGAAGTGCACTTTCCCCCCCCCCCCCCCCCCCCCCCCCCCCCAAAAACCACCCCCGCCCCCCGGCCCAGCGCCTGCAAGTCAACCACCCCCAAGATTCTGCTTTCCGGCAATATCCAGTAGCCAGTAGCCAGTAGCCAGTAGCCACGGAAAAGTCACCTATAATAATAACTAACAGTTATATCCAGCTGCGGGGTAGAGCTTGGCTGAGCTGAGGTAAATTACCTTGCAGCAAATGGAATATTATTTAGGGGCCGGGGGGGGAGGGGGGGGGGACGGAATATGGGATATATATTATTACTAATTACTGTACAGTACTCCGTGGTTACATGGGAGTTGGCACAGAACATTATGCAGGGCTTTCTCAGAATGTGCGTATAGGCGTGCGTGCATCGTGGCCCCCCGTCCGCCTAGGCGATATATGGGTATGGACTGATGGGGGGGGAAAAGGGGGGGGGGTTGGCCTGGTTGATGATGTGCATGTAACTATCTGCCATAGCCTGACGACTTAATTAATTTTTAAAATATGTTTGGTAGATTGATAGATTCAATTATTATATATATGTGTGTGTGTGCGTTTCAATGATCCGATCGTTGAGAGAAGAAAAGAAATGGATATATGTAAGTTATATGTATCTATCTAGTATGTAACTACGGTATGGTTTGGTATAAGGGCATGAAAATTGATTTCGGGGAGATGGATAACGGACGGCCTCCTCCCAAACCTCCTCCCTCTCTCTTTTGATTGTATGTAACTACTGTAGTTACATGTAATATACGTACGGTAACATTAACCTTGCTAATTCTCACCACCTTGCATTGCATTGTTGCTCGCATCTTTTCTCAATGCATCTCTCTAGTTACCCCTAAAATCTTTTTTTATTTAACTAACTAGATCCCCCCCCTCTCTCCCCCCAACTCGACTTCATCTCCCAAAATTGATATCGAGGGTTGTTCCTCGCCGGGTATATGTATGGTTGCGTAATATCAGCGGATAGACGCAGGACGGAACAAGTGACAAGTTGCCCTTGGAAGTGAGAAGGCAAAAAGCGCCGAGGAATCACGAGGGCATTTGCTTAGATAAGTGACACAAGAAGAGGGGAATCGACCCTGACTATCGCGTAAATATATAGAATAGTTAGTTACACATTTTCGTCATTATTACATCACAACGAACGAAGAGCAAACAAAGGGGACCCGCCACATTCCCACCGCCAATAGCAACGCAACCGCCCCATCTCCCCTCCTTTCAACCTAGGCCGCGTTGAAACTGACATGCGGGTGATCCCTTCTCGATATATTATTAGCCGATGAATATGACGAGCAGCAACGTGAAAAAGAAGAAAAAAAGAAAACCGAGAGAGGAGAAAATCGGAAGCCGAGAAGAAAAGATAACTACTAGTTACTATAGTTACGGAGTACATACCAGTGATTAGCTGTAACGGAGCCTCTGTCTTCCATATCTCTCCAGTTTTCCCAGGCCGTAGGAGCCTCGCCGTTGCTGGGATTCCAGATCTTCTGACCCCAGATGACATACATGACGTTCAGACTCTTGTGGTTATTCATCACCCATTCGGCAACGACTTGACCTTTGGGGTTGTATGACTATTTTTCTTTTTTGTCAGCAGGAACGGCTTTGAAACGGAGCGATAGATATGGGGTAGAAAAAATCAGGCGAGGTGATAAAGATCGCCCCAAAAAAAAACAAAAAAAAAAAAAAAAAAAAAGAAAACGGGGAGCGAACGAAAATCAAAAGCAAGCAGATTTGGAACGACATAGTTACCCCAACCATAAGATCCAAAGCTAACCCCTTCCCATGCTCCCCCGCTTTATCAGCATAGCACCAAACGACATGAACAGCCCCTTCATTCGCGGCAAGAATCGTCTCGCCAGCCCTGACGACATGCGGCTCGCAATTGCGCCCGGGAATCTCTGGGTGCGGCGGCTCCGTGCAGCATTGGATGTGTGCGGGGTCGTTGGGGCAAAAGTTGGGCGTCGAGGTTTTGTTAGCGGACGCACATTCTTTGGTCGAAATACATGTTCCCGTCTGGTAGTATACTGTGCAGGAGCTTTGCGCGACGGCGAGGCTGGCGGAGAGGGAGAGGAGCGCAAGGGCAAGGAAGCGCATTGTTGGCGATTGGTTTTTTTTTTTTTTTTTTTTTTTTTTTTTTGGTTTATGTGAGGGTACTTCGATAGTTTGGAGACAAATGAGTTAATTGATGCTTTTTTTGCTTGGTAGTTAGTTTACTGGCGGAGGGAGAGAGGGGTTTTTTGGGGGCCTCTTCTTTATAGAAAGAGAGCATCTCTAAAGATGGCGGCATTGGATATCAGAACCATGTCCCCCCCCCGACTCGACAAATGAAACAAAGTAAATGTGCCGGTAGGTAGTTAAACTGGAGAATACCCCAGCCGTGCACCTCCACCCCCCTCTCATCTCCCGCTGTGGTAGTGGAAACGATGAGGGCAACAGTGCTGTCCCGTCTCAGCACTGGTATATAGTAATAGATGTGTCTCCAAGTCCCATGCTCGTTCTTGACAGACCCGGTCTAACATGCGGAGTGGGAAGGCCACTCCATATATCCCTAGCCCTTGTTCAGTTAGTTCTCCACTGTCCTCCGAGCAGCACATTTTTTCTATTTGACAGTACCTAGCCTTGCCCGGCTCTTCAGAGGGTGCGCGGGAAAGTTTGGCAGCGATCGAACCACTAGTTATAGATCCGTTTCAACTTCCACGTCCCTTGAACATCTGGATTCGCAATTAAATATTGGGTCAAACCGCGTAGCGTAGCAGTAATGTAGAACAGGATGTGATGAAACAGAATCAAACATGGCTGGATTCAACGACTCCTCCGATCCGATTTATACTTCGATGGGAGGCGCAGGCACGGCGGTTTCACCACTTCGACTCACCCCTTGTTTGATACAGCGGAACCACCCAGGTGATCGGCATGCCGTTGTATCAGGATAAGAGAGCCATATCCTCACTCCTCTGTGTACATGTACATGTACATGTACATATGTACCTACACGAATAGCTTAACTAGGTTAATCCTTCAAAAAATTGTGCATAGAAACACGTGCGTAAACATGATACATCATATTCCCCTGGAGGAAGTGAGCTAGGTATGTAATTCGACTCTCCTTTCAGATAGGTACTGAGGTTTTGAGAACCACATCGCAGTCCATTGCCGCTGATAACTTATAGTTAACTAACTATTTGATTCCCCCTACCTGCCTGCCTCGGCGCGCAGCTACTGAGGATATTTTGAACTATCATCTGCCACTGTAGATAGTGTGTATCTATTCTACTCTGTATATTCTCACTGCAATCAACTTTGAACCTGCCTCCTAATCTCCAGATTCAGATAACTTGCAGAAAACTTTCAGATAACCTCCATACTTGCTACTATCTTCAAAATCTCACAAAACTGTCTCTCAAATCAAATCTTCTATAATCAGCATCTGCATGCTCAGTGTGAGTGAAAGAGTATCAGGATTCCTCTTACAAGCTTGATTCAATCAGGTAATTACTAAATATCTGGATACTGTAGCATAATAGCTCCTGACTATACAATCTTTTGTACAATCTTCATTTTCTCCAAAAACTACTCTCATCAACCAGGGCATCCCCATCTTTTCAACCCATGTGCATCACAGATCCTCAGTGATGCATACCATATACCACTGCAATCCCTCAAACTGTTATCAGATACAATAATAGTTCACGCCCAGTGACAAATTCAATGAGGAAACCCGACGACGAAGAGCGCCAAAACATAGCCAACCGTGAACTCGACCAAACTTACCACTCGTGGCCAGTATTGTTGCGGTGGCGGTGACCTGAAATGTTAACAAACGGCCTAATAAGTGGTCACAGTATCAATCTGATCAAAACGGAGTTTTTCGCGCGCAAACTACTTGCTTCATCACACGGAGCTATACAACAAGTAGGATGATAATAATACCACAGCCGGCAGAGATAATAGCATATCGTGCACATGCATACAAATATATGTATGGTTAAAGACGCCCCACGGATATATAGTTAGCCCCATCAAAAACACGGCCCCATCACCAACCCCTGCTGTCCCCGACTCCGCCTCCAGCGATTACTCAGCTCAATCACTCGAGTCTCAAACGCCCACCACCACCGCTCAAACACTATCTGCCCGACTTCCCACACATCGAGGTCAAAGGGGTTCCCACCGCTCACCCGCATCCCCTCAGCCGGGTCCTCGATATCGTACACTAGATTCATCATGGCCATGGGGTGCGATGCGGAAGCCGGGCGCAGGTCTGCAGGCATGCTGAAGACCTGGATGAGCTTGTCGCGGGTGGTGGGCCATGGGAAGAGGTCGAGGATTGGATGGTGGGGGATTAGGCGCTGGGTTGGGGTTGGTTGGAGGTGGGCGGGTAAACCTTCTAATACTGCTCTGGTAGAGGAACAAGAAGAAGAAGAAGAAGAAGATGATGATGATGATGACGAAGGGGAACGGGCGTGGGAGGGGGATTTGAGTCCCGCTGGGCCTGTGTAGAATGGACTGACGGCGTCCATGGCCCAGATGAGATCCTTGAGCTGTAGCCGTTCGGCAATGGTGAGGACGCCGCGGAGAAGGGATAAGGTTGGGATTTCGATGATGTGGTCGTCTGGGAAGGTGAAGGTGGTTGTTTGGTGGGACTGGAGAGTTGAAGAGAGGTCGTTTGGCGCGAGGTCTTGTTCGCTGATGTTTTGGAGGAATTGATAGGAGAGAGCTTCCAGTTCAGGAGAGGGCGGTGCAAGTGAGAAGAGAGTTTCGAAACATGAAGGAGACGACGACACTGGTACCATTGAGGAGGACGAAGCAGAAGAGGAAGCGGAGGAAGAGGGAGACGATGACGAGTTGTTGTTCATCAATAATTCTGGAAAGAAATCTGGAATTTCAGGGTGGTCGAAAAAGCTTGATTCAGCATTGGAAGCATCAACGGCGTTAAACGTGTCCAGGAGCGCTTCCTGAACTCGGTGTATCGTCCCCGGTGACGCGGGGGGAATGTTCGCCGTACAGTTCACCTGTTCCTCTAATGGTGGTAATATGTCGTATCCTGACTGGTTTTCAGGGCCACTTTCAGTTGAAAGAAGGCGGTCAGGAGTTGATGCATGCTCCTTCCCGTCTTTGTTCTGTAGCTTAGCTTCCAATGCAGCTAGATGTTCCCTCTTCCGTTTCCCTGAGAAGTTGAATTATTAGAACCTTGTTTGTTCTGTCTGACATGGGAGGCCCTTCATATGTGATGTTTTGCTCACTGTAACGGCGCTGTGCAAGCACGTTTAGAACCCGTTTCCGCTCCGTAGCGTCATCTGAAATATCCGGAACCGCAGGATCATTGGTCTTACGGCGTTGTCTTTTTGGGGTCATTATCTATATAGCTAGGGCTTCCAGGGGCGCGCGCACTCCTCCTCTCTGTTGATTCAAGCCTGAAGAAAGCAAACTGCAGAACGATAGGAAATTTATTTCGCACAACTTTGGCGAGAATGAAGTTTAACGCATGTAACCTAGCTTATTTCAGTAATTAGCAGTCAGGAATCGATATATCCATGACTGACTGATATTGGCGCTTGGGTGAGTCATATACATACATATATATATATATACTCCGTAGTCTTGCTGAATACGAGGTCCAACCCCCGCCAAAACGTCAAACCATAACGTTATGTTCTTGGCATGATCTTCGCAAGGGTTGAGTTTGGCTGTCTTTTCCACACCAAGAGGAGATATTATTATTATTTAATGGCGGGACGACGCAGCAAACAAAACCCCAGTGATAAGGTAGACTACATTAGTTTAGATGTTCGCTTGCAGCTCTGGTAGCTAGCTAAATAAATATAAGGGAAAAAAAAAACAAAGCCCATCCCATCCATGTCCAGAGTAGCTAGCTCACTTAATAAGTGGCTGTCGGGTTCAACATCTCTCATTCCAGATCATAATGTAGTCCATTAGCATGATACCATGAATTTTTTTTCAATCACATCTGAGGTGAAGCGGGAACAGCTGGATCACTTCACAATGTGTTTCGCACGTTGATGATGAATAGCACGCTCTGGCGGAGTCCTGGTGTTAGTTGTGGAAAGAAAATAAAACTTCGCAGATAATTAGTTGTAAATAAAAGATGTACTCAAAGGAACGAAAGAATGAATGACAATTGTGTTTGGTGATCCGTGGTGTGGTGTGTTTCGGGCGTTGAAAATAATATGTCAAATATATTATTTAAGATATATTTTTTTTTTGATCTGGAGATTGCTCTCAAATTATTTTGGCATTTATTATTAACTTAGGGTTTTGGCACAAATCTAGAACTCCCGAGAAGTTCGAGTAAATAATAAATAAGCGGCAAATTCTGGTGTCTGTCTGCTGCAAGGCGCTTCAACCCTGTTTCTTCTTTTCTTCTTTTCTTCTTTTCTTCTTTTCTTCCTTTCTCTCCTTCTTTCTCTTTTATTATTTACTTACCCCTCTCGCCCTCTCGACGCTGTGGTTTTCAATTTTCCTCCCGCCGCTACCCAAAGTTACTGATTGATTCCTCTTTCGCAAACCTGGGGGTACAGAGGTTCAAAGGGCATACATCTGCGCCGTCGGACATGATGTATGTTTCCTTTCTTTCTCTCAACGTTGACGGCTACACTGCGCAATCATGACGGAGAAGAAGGTTTTCTTAGATGCTGCGGATTTTCAAAAAGGTATGCATGCACTCTCTCTCGTTGTCGCGAAAAAAATGAGAGGATGATTTATAGTTATCAGATGATTAATAATAAAAGAGAAAAATAAAATAACTTAACTATAGTTAAGTTAACTAGTTAATCTATCAGCTTACTAATAAATAGTTGGCCAATGTCTTAAAATGGATATTAAACAGGTCTTAGCGCCCTTGATACAGAGCTGGGAAAGAATGCATTCATCGTCGCTTTCGCTCCGATAAAAATAATAGCAGCCGGCGGCTATTTTGCCATCACATACCTCAAAAACCGCACGGCTACGACAGACTTGGACTACATCGCCGACCCCCAGTGGGCAGCTGATGAGGAAATCAAAAAGCCCATCCAAGAGGCCATTTTCGAAGTCTCGACCGCTCTGAATTACAATGAGGAATGGATAAACGAGGACATGGCCTTGTTCGTGGCTGGGAGGACGAGACAACAGCTGTTCGAGCAAGCCGAGCGGCAAAACATTGTCCTATTCAAAGGCGAAAACCTCACCGTCCTTGCTGCGCCGGTCGAATGGGTGTTGGAGCGGAAGATCAGGAGGATACACACCGGTGACAGGGGTCGGAAGGCGGAGTTGGATATGAGTGACGCTTTGGCATTGCTGAAGTATATGAAGGATAGGAAAGGCGAGCTGCTCGACAAAGAGCATATTCGCACCTTGAATTCTAATTCGTTTGATATTATTCCGACGAGAGAAACGATGGAGCAGGTGGCTGCAGCGTTCTGGAGAAAGTATCGTGGGAATATATTCGCTTGAGCTGGAGGAAACTTCTTCCCGGTAGGCTTCCGTTTGGCGAAATTGGTGGTGGCGTATAGATCCGATATCAGTGTTTAATCCTTGAGTTATACCAATCGTAGCGTTCTTTGTTGGGAAGAAAAAAAAAAAAAAAGAATAGGATATATTAAACCCTGTGACTATTATTTTTCTAAATCGTATACAACCAGCCCACATTCGTGACAATGTTTCGCCGCGCGAAAACTTCGTTCTTCCCGTTCTCCTCAAGGACTAATTTCCCCTCACTGTTCACAAACCCCTGGGGAAGGGCACATAAATCCTCCCGGGAAATAGGAGGGACATCTTTCGTCCAAGACGGCCCAATTACAGGCGCATAAGCCGGATAGGGGTCCTCATCAGCTTCCCGCAAAACATGTTTATGGTCTCGTCGCATGCCCAAGCCCAATCTCCAATTAAAAGCATTTACTAGCTCTTCGGCGAGGCATGCTAGAATGGCATAGCGAATAGGATCGGGGTCCTTGGGGTCCTCAATTATATGCAAATCCCACCGACTCCGATTCTGGTACCAAAAGTACTCTGTCTCCTGGCCCATGGGGGCATACTCTCCCGAAGCCATAGATTCATAAAGACGATATAAAGAACGCAAAGGGGTATCTCGTGAACGCCAAACTGGAATGTTGCGGAATGTAACAATATGGTTTCTTCGGGCCATCATTAAGGAGACATTTCCCAACATCTGCTTGGAGGGAACGGGGTCGGAGACTGGATATAACCATGTAGGAAAGGGGTTGAAAAGTTGCAAAAGACAGAGCCACGGCCGGGGATGGTCATGTCTTAACCTGACAATGCTCGCTCGTAGCTTAAGAGGCGATCTGAAATGGATGATACGGTAGTAGAGTCGTAGGAGTCGTAGGCGGAAAGGGAGTTTGCGACGTCGCGGGGGCATATTTCCAATGCCTCGCGGAAATTGACGTTGTGTCAGTGATGGATATAGTCGGTAATCCTTTGAATGATGGGATAAGACGCTTGAGAAATATCGTGGTTCCTTCGATTTCGGTACATGGCCATTGGTGCTGCGAGTTTTGTCCTTGTTCGCTGAAGCTGTAAATAAACTTTGTTATTGTTGCCGATTCGGCATTGAAAAGAAGAGGACTGACTGGGTAACGTGACCCCCGTTAGCCCAGGGATGACTAATCTGGCGTTTATCCATTCTCGTCATCGTCTTCCCCGATCCCTTTCTCCCATCAACATTGTCTTGGGCATTTTAGTAGTTTGAGTATGGAGAGTCATTATGGCACCCATTCTAAGCACTCGTTTTCTAGGGCAGTTGAATTGCTGGGCGTTCCCTCAGCTCCAGGCGAGGAGTCTATCTGCCCTCTCTGCCCATAGCTGGTCCTATCCGCCTTCAGTTTCAGATGTTGCCAAAGATGAGGTAACGAGGCTTGCGTCGAGTCCCCGGCGGCCTTTGACGCTCACAGACCTCCTCAAGTAAGCAAAAGAATGACATGTATATCATTTTCCAGAATTGCACATAGTGGTTCATCATGACAAACTGACAATCGCATCATTCAAGACATGGACGCCCGCCGCTATCACAAGAAGCGCTCCTCGCATCAGCGAACTTTACTCTCTCTTTACTTCCTACTCGTCTAGCCTACCGAATTCAAGCACTGAGAAATCTTCCGTTTATCGTCGTGTCGAATCCGCATATTTCCAAAATTTATAACAATTATTTGCACTCTCTTTCAACCCTCCTTCCGTACCAGCAGCGGCGAATTACAAGCATGGAGGAGGAGATACAGTTTACCGACGTCATGGCTGATCTTGTTCAAACCCATACAAATACTATTCCCGTACTGGCACGAGGATTTCTGGAATGTAGGAAGTATATCAGCCCCGCCGAAGTCACTAAATTTCTCGAAGAGCATTTACGAGCCCGAATCGGTACCCGATTGATAGCCCAACAGCATCTTGCGTTGCATATGGCTTCGCAGCCACCAGTGGATGGCACGAAGCAGGGATGGACTACACCACCAAACTATATCGGAGTAATCGATACCGCACTACGCCCCGCACAGCTTATTCGAACGTGCGAAGAATTTGTTGCAGAAATATGTGAGCTAAAATATGGCGTTCGACCGCGCCTTGTGATTGATGGAGAACCAGATATCACTTTTGCACATATCCCCGTTCACGTGGAATATATCATCACGGAATTATTGAAGAATGCGTTTCGGGCAGTTGTGGAATCGGGCAATGAACGTGAGCCGGTAGAGGTCACTATAGCTGCTGCTCCAGATGTACCAGATCGCCATACACAGGAGCATTCCCTAAGTAGTGAGAAGCCTTCAGATGCTGAAGTGGATTTCCGTATTGGCAAGGACATTGGGGAATTACCTGATAGAAATGAGCTGCTTGCGCCGCTTTACTCCTCCACTCAAAGTATCACGATCCGCATCCGTGATCGTGGAGGCGGAGTACATCCTGATCTTCTTTCTAATATCTGGTCCTACAATTTTACCACTTATAAAGAAGACGATCTTCCAGGTGGAGATAATGGAAACATTGACGCCCTGAATGCCCTCTCCGGTAGCGGAGCCAACACCAGTAGCATAGCTGGCCTTGGCTACGGGTTACCCTTAAGCAGAGCATATGCAGAATACTTCGGTGGCAGTATTGCAGTGCAGAGTCTGTGGGGATGGGGAACGGATGTATATCTAACTTTACAGGGTGTGGGAAAAGTCGAATAACATATCAGATCTATTTTTCTATCTCGAGATGATGAGAAATTAAAAAAGAAAAGAAAAGAAAAGAAAAGAATATCTAGCCATGACAAGAGACTTAAAAGAAGTTCGGCTGAATCTTTCCATTTGCCCTGTCTAATAACCGCTGAGGGATGATGACATCATACACGCGCCCAGCCCAGGCACAGCATATCGAGCGCGTGTCTTTGGGATCGACAATTTCTTCCACCCCAAATGCATTCGCCGTTCTGACTGGATTCATGAGTCGAAGATATTCTTCTTCCAGCTCCTTGTATCGCTCTGCCTTTTTCCCGACCTTCTCTGCCTCTCGCAGTTCATGACGGTGACCAACTTCGATGCCGCCATCTAATGGTAGTGATCCCCATTGCCCGGATGGCCAGGCACATTGCATTGCGGGATCTCGACACCCAACCATAATACCGCCAGCCACACCATATACTCTCCTTGTGATAACGTTGAAAATTGGCATTGTGGTGGAAAAGTAGGTCTTGCCAAGCTCTACACCCCAGCGCATGGTCGCACTTCTTTCTGCTACAGTCCCAATGGCGTATCCGGCTGCAAATATTGTCAGTAAAGCGCTCGTCACTTTTGGTTGAAGGAGGAATTGTCTGTTTGATAGTACTTACGGACGTCAACGAATTGAAGAAGTGGGAGGTTCATCACGTCACACAGCTTCAAAAATCTGGTCAACTTTTGGCTTCCGGCCGCATCTAAAGCGCCACTGTTTACTTCGCAATTCGAGGAGATAAGCCCCACGGGTCTACCTCCCAGTCTAGCAAGACCAGTGATAGCAGTCGTCCCCCATAGCGCCCCGATTTCGAACCATGATCCTTGATCTACCACAGAATTTATGATGGTTCGGGGGTTGTACATTCTCGTTTGCTTTCTTGGGATGATTGTTCGAAGCCAAATATCTTCTCTGCCCTCCGGGTCACTGCACGGAACCACAGGTGGTGCTTCGGTACCGCAATTGGGCAAATATCCGAGAACAGTCCTGAGTTGCTCGAAGCATTCTGCTTCGTTTGCGGCAAGATTGTCTATCGTGCCGTTTGTGCAATGCATCATCGAACCGCCCAGGTCCTGGAAATCGAGACCTTCCTCGAAAGTGGCGCCTTCAACGATCTTCGGGCCGGCGTTGAAGAGAGCACCTATGTCCGCTGCCATAACTGAAAAATGGCAGGAAACGACTCTTGCAGCGCCCAGTCCGATCTACTCGCAGAAAAACAGTTCAGAAAAATACCCAAACGCCCAAATTTCAGAGGGAAAGGGAAACTCACCGCCGGTCCAACGACTGCACCTAAATTCGGCACACCTGAGTTAAGTTGCTCAACCATCGGATGAAACGAGCTGACATGCGGTATGTACGACCATCCCTCCTTTCTGATCGTCGTCACACTCCCACCCCCCGAACTCCCATCCACCAATTTAATAATGGGCAATTTCATCGCAACGGCCATTTTTTCCGCATACATGGTTTTCTCCGCTATCGCGCCGTCCGCGTGTCCTCCACGAATGGTGAAATCATCCGCAGTGAACACGATGGTCCGGCCTCGCAACTTGCCTAGGCCCTGCAGATTGTTGGTGGCCGTAAATGCCACGGGTTTCTCTGTCAGTGGGCCTGTTTGCTGCCATTTCACCCTGCCGCTGACGGACCCTATTTCGCGAAACGTCCCTGGGTCAAGTAGCTGGTCTATGCGTTCGCGGACCCATAGCTTTCCAGCCTGTTTCTGTCTGATGTAGCCTCTATTTTGTAAGTCCGGATTCGCAGCCAAGGTGCGTATGGTTTCGATTTGGCCGAGTACATCGGAGTAGTCTGCTGGAAGGGCGGACGCTGATTTTTTAGTTTTTTTGCTCTTCGGGTTGCTTCCTGAGATTTGTGAGGAGAGCTGATTGAGTCGGTTTGTAGCTTGGTTTTTCGAGTTTGAGGCATCTGGCACGGTGGAGCTGCCGTTTGGGGGTCCGTTGCCTCCCATAATGGCTTCGTAGCTTCTTCTTTCCTCTGGAATGGAATATCAGTAGTTGTCTTGATCGACTTTACAATCAATTCTTCCACTCCGAATTGTACTGTAGGCAGGATGTGCTGGGTAAATAGTAATATTTACTTTCCGACATTACCGAGAGCGAATCGGTTTTAGCAAACAGATAGCCGGATTCCAACCCCAGGAATTTCCCATCCTCATGCTTCAAAATGTAGCTCCTGTGCCCGAACCTATATCGGCTGCTTTTCCGGCTATACAATCCGCAATTGCCGAAATAGGTTACACGGCAAGCCGAAAAACTGCTACACGTGAAGCTGCCCACGTAGGATCGACTTGCGTATAGACGACCAGCTTCAAACAGAACGGTGACAACGATGATTTCCCTTAATCTTTTACGAGAAACCACACATCTATATAGACGCATTCAACCAGTTGTTGTTGTACGTGTGGAGTTTAACAACTGGTTGATGTGTTGTGTAGATGGTTTGATGGGCCGAACCTCGGCCGTTCTACGACTGCGGCAAAACCGATCGTTCCCCGCAACATCGAACCCACCCGAGCTGGGAACAGGCCAGTCAAGGGGTGAAGACATGGAGGAATATATTATTTAAGTTAAAAATCCTTTCGGGAGCAAGGGGGCAGTTGTTTATTCCGGCTTATTTTAAATGAATTCCTTTTGTGCTTCTTTTTTCTGTGTGCGATTGCTACTGAGGCTCAGTCGGCAAAAATAGAGGGTTTATGTTTTTTTTTTTTTTTTTTTTTTTTTTTTTTTCTTTTTTCCACCCCCTGATTCCTGAATGGCAGCGCATATTGTATAAGTACATTCCCGTGGCCAAGTCCTCAAGTAGTAATCATGACTCCTCCGCCAGCGCGGCCCATTAAGCGGCTATTGGTTGCGAATAGGTACGTGGGAACTACGAAATTCAAGGCTGAGATCATAAGGAAAAGAGATGGAAGAACGCTAACACCATTATCTTCTTTTTTGCCGCCTTTATTAGAGGAGAGATCGCAGTTCGCATCCTCCAGGCGGCCCGTGAATTGTCCATCGAGACTTTTGCACTTTACACAGCAGATGACCGCTCGCATTGTGACGTGGGAGCACCGCACCATGTCTTAGCGTTACCATCTCCAGCGTCTTACATGGATATTGCCTTGCTGGTGCAGTTAGTACGGGAGAACTCCATAGACACAATCCACCCGGGGTATGGGTTCCTAAGCGAAAGCGCAGAATTTGCCCAGCGCATATGGGAGGAAGCGGGGGCCAAAGTCATTGGCCCCGGTTGGGAAGTATTGGCAAGGACAGGAGATAAGCTACAAGCCAAGGAGTTGGCTGAGGCATGTGGTGTGCCGATTTTGAAGGCAATGAAAACGCCAACGAACGATATTAACTTGATAAGCCGTTTCGCGGCTGAGGTTGGATATCCTGTCATGGTGAAGGCTGTGGATGGCGGAGGTGGACGGGGGATCCGATTTGTAAAGGGACCGGATGAGCTGCAGTCTGCTCTTGATCGGGCGACTGGGGAATCTCCGTCCAAAAAGGTGTTCGTGGAAAAGGCTGCCGTGGGAGGGTTTCATCATGTTGAGGTTCAGATTATTGGAGATGGTACTGGGCAGGTTAGGCATCTCTGGGAAAGAGATTGTAGTGTGCAGAGGAGGTTTCAGAAGATTGTGGAGTGTGCGCCCGCTATGATGAAAGATAGAGGCTTGATTAGGAGGGTTATCGAGGCAGCATTACGGATTGCGAGTGAGGTAAGTCGCCTTCTTAGCTACTGATGTCAGATACAATAGCTGACTCGGAACGTAGATTAAGTACTTGTCGCTGGGAACTTTCGAGTTCTTGGTCAGCGGGGAACTATCAGAGTTCTACTTTCTAGAAATCAACCCCCGCCTTCAAGTCGAGCATACAATCACGGAATGCATTTCGTCGGTGGATCTTGTCCAGACACAGCTGCTGCTAGCCCAAGGTGTGCCATTGCGAGATATGGGGCTGGGTGATAGGAAAAATCCGGAACAACCACCCACTGCATATTCAATCCAGTTGAGATTATGTGCTGAGGACCCAGGCGCGAATTTCGCGTTGAGCATCGGAAAAATCACTGAATTCCATGTCCCAGGAGGCAATGGCGTCAGGGTGGATACTAATATCTCGGGGTCATCGCCAGTAGTAATTGGCTCCGACTTCGATAACATGATGGCCAAAATAATAGTCACCTCCACCAGTTGGGATTCTGTACTTCGAAAGGCGCGCAGAGTACTGGACGATACAAGAATATCAGGGGTTAAGAGCAACATCGATGTCCTGAAAGGAATCCTCGCAAATCACGAATTCCAGCAATGGCAAATCGATACTCAATGGCTGGAGAAACATCTGGAAGAAATTGTCCAATATGGAAAGCAACTTTCAAGCTCCAAATCGAACCAATCAGGCCTGCCGCCTGCCTCTTCTACCCCTCAAACTCTATCGCTTGGATCGTCCAGCGTCCTCTTCCGCAAAGGAGATGCTTGGTCCGTTGAGTTGACGCCATTGAACTCCAAACGGGGATCCGCTTCCCAAACGCCTCATCACCTTCTGCTTAGTAAACTTCTTCGCAACGAATTCCCAACTTCTCTAAGTGCAGAAATCGAATACACAACTCCGGCGACTGCGACTCAAGCCGCAACAACTACTCCATATCGAGTGACTTTGTCCAGCACATCTGCTTCGTCAAGTTCCCTATCATCAACTCACCGACGAGGAGATCTGAACAATTCTTCTCATATCACTCTTCCGATGAGCGGAAAGCTGACCGAGATGCTCGTGGAAGAAGGGGACGAAATCCAGGAGAACACAGTGATCGCGTTCGTGAAACAAATGAAAATGGAACTCGAAGTGCGAAGCCCGAGGGCGGGGATAGTTACATGGGCATTGGAGCTGGAAAACGAAGAGGGAGAAGATGTACCAGAAGGAATTTTGCTGGCTGAGGTAACGGCACTTCATGCCTCAGCGGAGCAGGTCGTTGGAGTCAAGGGGAAGTTGTGAGACTTCAGAACCAGATCGTATTTCAATATTAAATAGACTCATGATAGAAGTGCTAGAATATTGGATTTTCGCAAATTCCCCCCCCCCCCCTCTTTTTCCCTTTTTTCTTTTTTTCTTTTCTTTTTCTTTTTCTCCAACAATTGGCCAATAGTTATGCATTGGTTGAGAACAATAAAAGCGCCTGTGGTTGTTGGGACGTTATAATTTCCAAAAATAGAACCTCGATCACGTGGAATTTACTACGGAGTACAATTATCGTAATGGAATGTGCTTAAGAAACGGTCAACCTGCTGGACTCAGTGCGGCCGTGATAAGGTATCGCGATAATTTCAGACTGACGAATATCCGAACTAAAGAACGACACAGTGAGCAATTCTCGCCGCGAGCCATCCAAGAGTGTTACAGTTGGAACTGCTGAGAATGACAACGCATTCTTGCAGTAGTTCCCGTCGACTCGACCTATTACGAGCTCCATTGCCCTAAGGGTGTTGGGCAGCAGATTCATAGATCCCTATGCAAAAAGGGCCAGCGGATAGCATTTGAGCCGCTAAGGTAGCTGAATTCCAGGATTTACGGGTCCGATGAGATTTGAGATGCAGTTTCGACTTATTAGGAGGTTTCAGATGTGTTATCGAGAGCATGGCCATACACTATATATACCAGAACAAACCCAGCTCCCTCTCGATGCATGGAAGATGGCATGGAAAGCTTATTAGATGCAGCTACCTGGATAGCGCGTGACCGGCATGGTGGGGTAATGGACGCTCGCCATATCGTTGACTTGCTCAGAGAATTTTGGATTTATTTTCTATGCATCATACTTGAGCAACACGCTCAAGGCCCGCCTCAACTCATCTCCAGCATCTCCAGATACACGAAGTTTTAACGAGCTCCACTGTGCATACATCGTCCGCAAATACCTGCATGTTCTATCAAACCCTGCAGCCGGAACATCAATAAACCAGCATCCATCCTCATCTGTATGAGGTAGCATCTCAATGTACACACCCATGGCCACCACCGCCCCATCCACGCCGTCGAGCACCGCCCATACGCAGGAAACAACCGAAGCCAAGGCCGCTTTTACCGCCTCTCTAACATCCGTCGGAACAAATTTGGACACCGACCTGCGCCAGCGCGCGCAGGCCCTTCATGACAATGACGACGCCCTCAAGAAGCAAGAGGAGAAACTGAAAAAGACAACCCAAGATCTCGCGAAGCAGTCAAAGGAGTTGGAAAAGCTGGCTGATATGGGTAGAAAGGGGCTAAATGAGGTGGGGGACTTGCAGAATTGGGCAGAGCTTATTGAGCGCGATCTACTGATTGCGGAGGAGACGCTGCGTTTGGCGGAGGAGGAGGATGAGAGGAATGGGAGAATGAATCGGAAGCCCGAGAGTAAGTTGAGGAGATGGTTTTAAGGATTGGAGGGGAGGAGGGGAGGAAGGGAGCTTGGATTGTTTATTTTCTCCCGTTATCTATGGTTTTCAATGTTTGACCTGCAGGGCCGGAGGATTTGCGTGTTTCTGGCTATATGTGAGGTTACGAGTCTCCTGTTGTATTGAGCTATTTGGACCCCCGTTTCATTTCCCTTCGGTTACTGTATTCAATAGAATGAATAGTCAAGTAAACATGATCGTCCTTAAAGTATGATCGGATTCCAAAAACTTTTGTAGTTATCCCAAAAAAGAAATCTATTTAACATCCAAAAAAAAAAAAAAAAAAAAAAAAGGCGGTCTCCCTAATAAAACACCGCAAACCCGGGTTTAATCCTCGTCTAAGTCACTTAGGAATCGCTTCCAAACATCTAATCCGGTACTTGCGTGCACATCGCCGCAATTCTCTAATGCTAACTGTGTCGCAGACTCCCATTCATCCCATACGCTCCAATCCCCCAAACTCATAAGATGTCTCATGGTCGGACGCCCATGGGGGCAATTCCATGGCCTATCAATCATCCCCATATGTCTCACAACCCGGTCCATTTGCTTGGTTGTAAGCGTCTTCCCAATCATAATACTAGAACGGCACGCTCTCATCGCGAACATCTTGCGAACTTTACTTGGACGAGGAATATATTTGCCAGCAAAGACATCGGAACCGGAGGTGGGAGATGGTGCAGATTGCGTTTGTATTTGCGGCGCTTCACCAAGTAGAACGATTAACTCCTCAAGATCTCCTGTGTTAAAGACCACTTCCTTGCTGAGTGGTAGGCTGGTAAGTTTGCATCGGCGTCCGATGGGCTCGTTGCCACTCCTGTCCACTTCTACAACAAAGCCGTTCTTTTCCAGGGCTGGAAGATTGTCTATTATGATTTCCTCTTCAACAGCCGTTAGTTCGAGGGTCTTTGGCTTAACGAGTCGTTGGTTTTGCACAACTGTCTCGGCCTGGAGACGTTCGAAGTTGTACTTTTCATCCGATGCATGTTGGTCAATTATAAATACTTCGTCATGTTTGTGGCCTGGGAGGGTTGATGGGTTGTTTGAGTCCCCGCGTGGTCGTGTTGCAATGATAAATCCCAGGTTGAATTGACCGATAATGCGCATTTTGGCGAAGTCTTCTTTGGAGACCGAGAGGGATAGTTGTGTTTCTGCTGACTCTAGTTCTCCTGGTTCCTGAGTAATCTCTCCCTCACTCGTGGTAGAACTGATGTTGTTGATATTCTGCAGTCCCTCTTGAAGCAACTTCATATGAGCCTCGATCCTGGCCAATGACCCATCTATACATCCTACCAGATCGACTGTGGATGTTCTACCAATGGACCGTTTCGATATTCTGTTGACTCTATGGATAGTATCGTCTGAAGGAATTGCCGCCTTCTCTTCCGCTGCTTGTATCAACTCTGCAACTCTCGCTTCTTCCCTAGCCTTTTCCTCTTGTTCGTCCACATAGCTCGTGTCGGAGTCGGAGGCTTCGGCTTCATCATGTGGCTCCGTGGGCCCTGTTTCTTCCATCTCGCCTTCTCCGTGTTTTCCGGCGTCCTCTTCATACTCGAGCTCGCTTTCCCGTTCGGGGTGCATTTCATCAAATTCTTCAGCATGGTGATCAGACAGAGACTCGACTTCTGATGCAGTCTCCACAGCGGCTTGTTCATCTTCGCCACTGATGCTTTCCAGATCGTCATCCACTTTGGTGTCTGGTGCCGCAAACAATCGTAAACCTTGCCCTAGTTTGCTCTTGCTAGTTGAAACGTGAATTCGTCGTTTGGGTCGAGGGGCTGAACCTCCCAAACTCGTTGCACCCAATTTCCGCTTGAACTGTTCTCTACCTATAGTGGACGTGACAGTTCGTTTTCCTACCGTAATAGTTGCGAGTTCGACAGGTGGTCTACTTGGGCGCATTCGATCGAAAGCGTTCTGGATCACATTGGGGGAATGTTGCGGGGAGCAGGTTTGTACTGAATGCAGCGGTTCTTGTCGTAGAAGCGAGGATGCACGAGTAAAGCCTGAGTTAGCCCAATTTTCCGCAGACTTATCTGAAAGCTGGGTGGAAGGGGATGCCGTCGTGCTCTTTTCATTATCACACGATTGAGATTGGGAAGATAAGATTTCGTTAGCCCCGGGAGATATATTTCTCGGTTGCGGAACACTCTCGTTGGCGGTTGAGTATTGTTCTGCAGACAGAGGCAACACCCCGACCTCCACATTCTGCTGGGTTTCAGGAATCTCGTCTGAAGCGTTACTACGACCGGCAAAGCGTTGTACGAAAGTTCTCATCGTTCTTTGCTCATCTTCCTCGTCACTTCCATCAACTTGCCCAAGATCCTCAGATTGTCTCGGCTCGCTTGATTTTGCAGGTTTCTCAGAGCCAAGACTGGAAGGGATATTTGTGCTCTGAGGATACTGCAGCATAGATTGTTTCCGAGAAGCCTGACAATGCGGGACTGTCTGATCTTGACGTTCAAATAACTCAGTCAAAGACGTCTTCAATGACTCTATTAGCGCGCCGGCATCATGGAGCAAAATGGTGCGTTTATCAGGTGACACATTAACGTCGTAAGAATTCGTATCCATTTTAAAGTCGGCAAAGATGAATGGGGACTGAGAGATGTTAAAAGATTTATAAACCTCATTGAATGCCTTTGCAATTTGCGGTAGAGCGCATGGGCGGGAATTGACGAAAAACATCTGGCGGTCGGGGGTCTGCCTGCCCTCCCCGAAAACCGGTTTCGAAATATGGCCTTGCACGAGTATTTTGTTTCCTTCATTAGAACCACCCCCGATTAAACATCTTCCCGTTCCACTCGGCTGAAATTCCAACTCGAGGTCAAGAGGCGTCAAAGAGAGGAGCGTTTTAGCTCCATATATGTTGGATATATTTTCCTTTGTCGTGGCGTTGGATTGAGTTGCAAAAACAAGGACACTCTTCCCTTTAGGCATTTGGTTTTTGACATTAAATCGAACACCAGTGCTGACGCACGCATAGGCATGCAACAAGCCCAGTACCTTGCCATATTCTCTTTTGATATTCTTCTGCAACTCCAGTCGTCGCACGGGAAGTTTGGTGAAAAGGTTCTCGACTGATGTAATTGTTCCCTTTTGGCCTGCCACCACCTGTTTGCTTTTAAGCCTTCCAGAAGTCTCAAATTCCAACCTCGAGGCTTTGGGAGTTTGGTGTGCTTGGGCGGTAATAATATGGAAGTTGGAGAGGGCGCAGAGGGAAGACAAGGCTTCGCCACGGAATCCGAAGGTTTGGAGGGAGGATAAATCATCGAATTTCGACAGCTTTGAGGTGTAGTGCTTTAAAGCTATAACACAGAGTGAAGAGTTAGTAGAAAAGCTTACTAAACGCAGCCGTTGAATTTGTGTGTCGTATGTAGGGACCCTACCAACTGTCTCATAGTCGTCTGGGGATATTCCCTTTCCATTGTCTTGCACCTCGATTAAATCCAGCCCGTTGTTCTTGAATCGGATATCTATGCGGCAGCGCAAACAGTCAGTCAGATTCTCTAATTTTAAACCTGAAACATATCACAATACCTAGAGATGTCGCTCCAGCATCCAGACTGTTCTCCACCAGCTCCTTCACGACGGAGCAAAGGTCGACAATCACTTGACCAGATTGGATTTGGTGGACCTGTCACTTAACAGTTAGCGTTGCGCAGTCCTTTAAAAGGTTCTAGGTAAGGAGTTAGTACCGAACGAGCTTCGATGGCCTTGATGGTGGCCATATTCATCCCATGGTGGTGGTTCTATGCAGGAGTTCATTCTACGCAGACGCGTTGGTGGGCGCGTAAATCAGTGGCCGAACACGACCCAGCGATGCTGACGTCATCCGCCGTTTCTGCCCAAAAACCGCCTTTCGGATGTAGCGACGCAGATTGATGAGTGGACGGATATAGGTCCACCTGTAAAGATAATGCATTTGACTAAAGACTAATAAAGAGTGGTGTATCTACGGTTTCTTGAGCGCAAACTAACTAGGTTAAAGGGTACTATTCCAAATTTAAAAAAACAGGCCCAAATGCAACGAACGCCAACAAGAATTAGAGAAGAATGTGTCGCCAACCGTGGTATTTCGTGCTTTTTACGTAGTGTCGAATCGATCAGGTAGCAAAACCGGAGCAATCAAAGTCCATAGGTAAATCGCGTAGCACACCATAGCACTGATGATCTTCACCCAAGTAGCCCAATATGTCCTACCGACAGGAGCCAAATTGTCCTTCGCCTCCGGATCCAAATTTTGCGTGAGCAAGGTTGAGACCCACGTGGTTGCTAGGAAAAAGATAACGTGGAACAGGGTATAGTTATACTGCGTGGAGTGACGTTCATCGTCCCTGTTTGACCGGTCGTCGTCTGACTCATCATCACTTTCGTCGAGAGCACTTGCTGGCAAGCTCCCGCTCTCAACAGCAGCGCGGAGAGCCTCCGCACGCATTTCTCTGCGGCTCAGCCCAGGTTGTTGAGTTACAAGCCCATGTTCCATCTCATCTTGACCCAGGCGTGAGTAGTTATGTGCCCCGTTCGAACCTAGAGCGATACCTTGCGTAGCAGCGCGAGTAGTAGTGTATGCAATGGTCAACATTGTAACTATGGCACCGATCACGATAGAAGCTGTTCGGGTGCCGCGAGCGCGGACCAGGGGGTTGCACTGGCGGTCGTCAGGTTCCATTGACACGGCAGACAACATCAAATACGTGCAATAAACTGTAACCATTGCAGCCTGTGCCAATCCTGCTCGAGGGTTGGAAGCCTGAACTGCAGGCTGAACCGAGACCACGGAGATAATCAGGAAGACGATAAGATTGATCTGTGCATTCATATTAGTATGTTATGTTCACTTGTTAGAAAGGCTCGAACTCACTGTGATGGCAGCTTGGTTCATGGCACATCCGGAGTGAGCGAAGAATATGTACATGACCACAGTCATGGCAATGGACGCAAGATACATGCCCAGTGTCGAACCGATCAATAAGACACGCCACATTTGAGAGTCGAGCTCTTCGATCTTTTGCAGGCAGATCTCGGCCCAGGTATGGGCTAGATCGACGAGAAGGATAAGACCTAGTAGCAGGAACAAAATTGCACCGATAAAGGATATGTAGCTTCCCCAAACGAAAAAGAACCCCTCGGGGATGAAAAACGACATGGCCACCAAAAGTAACCACACGATAATTTTCGGGCCCCAGAAGCCATTTTGAAGGCCAGCCCTACCGTCCTTCGAAGAACGGACTCCGAGCAAGAGAAGTGCCAGAATGATATGAAACAGCCCAAGTGCGAAGTTGATTCGATGTACCGCTACCCATCCATAGCACTTTTCTCCTTCGCAACTGATCGGTAAAAAGTCGAATGTGAGATGTTCCAGTTTGCTTAGCGCCCATCGTGTCAACATTATCCAGGATAATATCGAATTAAACAAGAGTATGACGGCATAGGCGATTCTCGTGGCCATGCTGTTCGGAGGTTAGCGGATTTAAACTGGTGGAAGAAAAGCGGAATATGGAACATACCTGCTCTGGAACTTCCCACAGGCACTGCATATCGCTGAGCAGGTAGCTGCTCCGCAACACGAGGCGCAGAATGTTATTAACTAATGAATTCAGTGTGTTAGCGATGCCATTGTCTGTAGCTTTGGGGGACAAGCCAGGCTCACAGTGCCAACGCTAGGCACTGCCATCAAGGGCAGCGACAGAAGCGCGCCCATCTTGAGTAAACCAAGATATAATAATGGAGAGACGGTATCAGGAGCGGATATGCGCTGTGTTGGTTCAGAACACCACGATAAAGAGTGGTGGATGAGGCATTGGAGGAAGGTTTGAGAAAGCGCCAGATGACGTTGGCTCAGTAAACTCAGCCACTCAACTGCGAACTAACCCAATCCGAACTACTGCCACTTTCTGCCAATTAGTATTATTCTTCAATTATAGATGTATCATGTATGCAGTCAGAGACTATGACATCTATCTGAGAACTGATGAAAGTTCTCAGGATTTTTCTACTACTTTTCAGTGATTATTATTATTATTCTTCAATTCTAGATGTATTATATATGCAGTCAAAGACTACAATATCTATCTGAAAACTTTCAATTCTCAGAGTTTTTTCAATATTTATACAGCTAATTATTATACATTTGTCAATTTCAAATATGCAAAATCAGAAAATTCCAGCTCAGAATACAGAAACTTTTTACAAATTACAGTATTTTCAACATCTTCTGATACTTTGAAATCATTTAAAAAATAACATACTAAAAGAAAGAAAAGAAGTCTTAAAAATAGATATATTAAATATATAAATTGAAAGAAAAAGAAAAGAAAATATAAAGAAAAACAACAAAAAACATATTCAAAAATAGTGTATAACTGTTTTAACAGATTATATCTGATTTCTTTCTATTTCTTCATATTCACAGAGTTTTGAATTTAATTTAATTATTTTCCGGATTACATAATCGGCTGGCAGCCGATCTTATCTCCAGCGCCGAGGAGCAACCCTAAATGGAATCAACTTGTTCTCAAATTCCTCCGTTACTACACCACACCACGCAACGCAACATCTAGGTTCCTTTTAAATATCTGTTGGTGTCCGCTGAGAGTCAGAAAGCAGAAAGATTGAAAAAAAGGTTACATACATTCTTAGTATATACCCTTTTTTGCCCATCTATGGTTGTGGCCACGGCCGCTTCGGTTACGCCGCCCTGTTTCGTATAAACTCCGTCAACCTACGCAGTTCTTTTACCCTCCAGTATCAGACTGCATCCCTGTCGAGTCGGTGTTATACATTTCATGAGGCTTTAATGTATGGCCATACGTTATCATAACTGCCCCTTTTGTTAACGGCGCGACTGCGCCCATTATCTGGCCATGTCTTCTTCCTCCGTTCAGACGCAGCGGCTGTTGTCCATAGTAGGAGCAACGTTTGTTGCCCTAGCATGCGGAACAAATGTACGGATACCTATCTCATTAAGTTGAGTGATCGCGGACTGTCTAACATGTATGCAGTACGTATATTCAGCATGGGCTCCTCAGTTTGCTGAACGGTTGAAGTTGTCATCTACCGAGAGCAATTTAATTGCATGTATCACCCGACTCAATAACCCATAAGACGCTCTGCTAACATGCTACAGGGGACTGCCGGGAATCTTGGAATGTATGCCACTGGGATTCCAGTAGGTCTTCTCGTTGATTCGAAGGGCCCAAGGCCTGGCATTTTGATAGGGATAGTGGCTCTTGGGTTGGGCTATTTTCCACTTCATCGAGGTAGTTCTTTTCTCGTCAGAGTTTGAAAAGCTACACATAGCCAGTAACTAATTTTTCGGTAGCCTATGTATCTGGTCAGGGTTCTATGGGAGTCCCGACATTGAGTTTCTTCATGCTCCTCTCCGGCGTGGGAAGCGGTTCTGGGTTTTCGGGAGCGATCAAAACGGGTATGACATGACTGTCTGCTAACGAGTGGATGGCCAATTTATCATCGCTAACGGGACCACATAGCTGCATCCAACTTCCCAGACCATCGCGGCACGGCAACAGCTTTCCCATTAGCTGCTTTTGGGTTGAGCGCCTTCTTCTTTTCAACGCTCTCGGCGTTTGCCTTCCCAGATAATACAGGTCAATTTCTGTTGTTATTGGCTGTTGGCACCCCGACTATCCTGTTCGTGTGTTTCTTCTTTGTTCGACTTATACCGCGATCTCCTTCATACACTTCTCTCCCCTCGGAGTCAAGCCAGTTCCACGGAGCCCAGTCGTCGCGGGAAAGCCATCACAGAGAGTCCTCAGAAATAGGTACGCCATATGAAACCTCCAACCCCAATGCCCCTCAAGAGACAACCATAGGACCTACGTACCATTCGGAATCCTCTTCCCCCAAGTTAGATCCCAATGAAACGTCATCATTGGTAGTTCGATCTCTTTCCCCAAGAAGCTCCAACGAATCGCTCTACGATGAAAACACTTCCGTCGATCCTAGCCGTAACTCACTATATGTAGATGTCCGTGGTTGGTCTATGATTTCCACTGTGGAGTTTTGGCAGCTGTTTGTACTTCTAGGGCTGTTCACCGGGATTGGGTTGATGACAATAAAGTTAGTAATTCTATTCCGCTCTCAGAGGTGAGAATTGAAGCTAATGAAGTACAGTAATATCGGTAACAACGTAAGAGCCCTCGTCCGCAGTCAAATTTGTGCGTTTATTAACAACAACCATTGTTGCAGGCAAAAGCCCTATGGAAATACTATGACGACACTACGGATTCCGAATTCGTTCAGAAACGACAGACGATGCATGTGTCTGTTTTGTCCATGCTTAGTTGCGTGGGGCGGCTATTGAGCGGTATGATTCTCAACTCTGGCCATGTTTTTGACATACCAAGAGACACTGACGAATGTAAAATTTCTTCATTTATATAGGCATTGGTTCGGATATCCTTGTGAAAAGGCTCCATATGTCCCGTTTTTGGTGCCTATTTACATCGGCCGTTATCTTCTGCACAGCGCAGGTTGCCGGGTTCATGATTTCAGATCCCCATCTGCTTGTCGCCGTTTCGGGACTCACTGGACTGGCTTATGGCTTCTTGTTCGGTGTCTTCCCCTCCCTTGTTGCCCATACCTTCGGTGTTGGCGGCATATCTCAAAACTGGGGAGTAATGTGCTTTTCACCAGTTATCTGGGGGAACATATTCAACCTGCTATACGGTCGCATATATGACACGCATTCTGTGGTGTTGCCGGATGGAGAACTCGATTGCAAGGAGGGATTGAAATGTTATAGCACCTCGTACATCATTACATTTTACGCCGGGCTTGCGGGATCCGCAATAACTCTGTGGACTATTTGGCATGAGAAAAAGGTTCTCAGTCGTTTGAGTGGGAAGGGATTCCATGAACGAATTGCCTAACTTTTGCGCGCGCACCCCGGACCCTACACACGCGACTCGATCTCCAACTACCGGAGATACGAACTCCATTCTTTCGTCATTATTTTTGAAAGGCCATCGTGAACTTTATTGCAAGTCACTCTTTTGCAGTAAGCCTTCCGATATGGGCTCTCGTAATCAGCGATTACATTACCACCACCGGCATGTCGACATGTCGGCTTGAACGCGAGCATCCTCATTCTTTTATCGTTGTTTCTACCCCGCAGGTCGGTTCTCCACCTTCATCCATGTCTCGGGATGGACATTATCTTCATTCCTTTTGGCGTTTTTCGTTTTGACATTTTTGGGTCAATGCTTGCTAAGGCCAGATAAACTGGCGGGGTATCTTATTGGCGTTCCTTCTCCGGTAGACTGATACTTTTTAGATCTGGAGGTTCAATCGATTGAATAGATCAATAGCATGTTTTGGATCTATAGGCAGTATGCATTATTTAATTACATTTAGAATTTCAGATTGAAATTTGATTCTCTTGACTTCGCACGTTGTTTGAAATGTACAGTACATGTACAATGTACAGTCTATTGTCCTATTTTCTCCACACTTTTGGAAGCCTAGTATTGACAGTTAACTGTTTGGAGTTTACGTGCCCATGAATTTTTCAGGAAATTTTTCTCAGGAGGTAGGTGCAACCTTGCAACTCGGTTAAATCTGCAATTGAATCGTCCAGCGATCGTTTTGAAACCAGGAAAATTGACATCCACAATGCAACCAGGGTAGAACTATATAAAACGCCGCATTTCGCAGTATGCTATGCCAGAAGGAAAACTGGTTTCGACTTGTTCCTCTACATTGTCATGAAGTTCATATTTCACCATATTCGCACCTATCCTTCTTAATATCCTCGTCAGGTTCGTTACTCAGTCCCGCATCCTCCGATCTCAATTGCCAGCCATAGAATGCCATCACCACAACGAGTCCAGGTTGGACTACGCAGGGTAGATATGTTCCCAAGGCCGCTAGGAAACTGTTGTCGCAGAGCATCAAGAGCAAACCCATCCCCCCTCCGCTAACTGCCAGCATTCCCACTCCGATTAACCTAATTATTAGATCCAACAAACATAGTGGTCCGGTGCCACTTCGTTTTCCATGGGCTGGGTCGTAGTTAGCTATTAACAGCGCGGTGGTGATGCCTATCGCGGTGGCCACTATAAGGGGCTGAGAACTTGCCGTATGGAATGTGGGATGCCCTCGTAACGGAATTGCAATGGCAGCCATTTCCATCTCGTTCCCGCTCTGTTCATTGGTTAAAAATGCACATGTTGTGGCTTGCATAACCACTTATCTCTATCGATTGACTCCTGCACTCGGTTGAAGAGTTTTGGTTATTTAAACTGAACAGAAAGTCCTTGACTTAGGGTGAAACAGCTCTGCACCTTTTGTAGAGGTGCTTGCTTCCTCGGTTTCCTCACAGGCTCTCTACGTTGACTGACGTGGCTGTGACTTTTCCCTTTCGACAAATCAATTGGCCCCCGGGGGGAAAAAGGCTGCTATAAAGGCGGACATTCTTTTTAAGCCACAGGCCTCCGTCAAAATGCAGGTCTTCGTCAAGACCTAACTTACATGTATATTCAATATCCCAAAAACCATATGCTTTCTATAGCCTGCAATTGCTCAAATATAAAATAAGTCCCGCTTCGCCTCCTGTAGGAAGTGTACTTATTTTATAATAGTCCTACCAAGCCTTACCCACTTATCCAATTCCTTCTCCCGCACCAGGTGGAGAATTCTTTTTAAAGTCCCCGTCTTTGGGTTCTGAGAACCAACCATGAGGGAAGATACCACCGGGAAGCGATCCCCAAATTCTCACCAGAATGCGATCATTTCTCAACACGCGATTCAACCCATCCCAGAAGAAAATCTTGTTAACGAAGTACGAGGAATGTACGCGGGCTTGGTTATGGTCGAGAAGAAGTGCCTCAAAATACATCACCCATCCCGCTTGAGCAGTGATCTATCCTCGACTCCATGGCAAGCTCTTATCAGGCTGCACAGGACCTTGCTTCATGAACATCATGACTTCCTTTTAGCGTCACAACACCCCTCGCCTGGCCCAACTCTCAGACATCTCACCGTCAAATATTCAACACATTCAACACCGGAGCGAATGGGGAGACACGGGATTCATTCGTTCTTGGAAATTTTGCGCCAGCGTCTCCCAACCTCCATGGATCATATGCTATCATTCATACATGTGGCATATTGTTTTATGTCATCCCCTATAGAGCTTGCCCCTGTTTTCGAGGACACATGGATCGAATGCCTTGGCGATGGGGCTCGTTGTAGAATGGTGATTGAAGATATCGAAAATAGCGATCGGGAGTACCGCAAGGCGGATGGACGCACGGAGAGGGTTCGACATCACCTGGCGGTTCTAGCGCGCCCAAACATACCCCAACAGCTACCCCGAAACATCATTTCCTACTTCCCCTTCTCCAGCAATCTAATAACTGACCCTGAACCATATCAACGTTCGAATATCTATTTACCGGAAGACTATCATCCAAGTGGGCTACTCTGGGTGTCTTTGACAAATTCGACTAGCGAAGCATGGATGGACCATGACATGGACCTTGAATACGATGTGTGCTACACTATCAAAAGTTGTCATTCTCGAGCAGTCCTGGATCGGTTTCCCACTCTTCTAGAATTTCATCCACGATTTGTCTTCATAAAATCAGATAAAGCTCATGATGGCGTGGGGACGGTGCACAAGAGCATCAGTCACAGCAGGAAGGCAATTGCTTCAGCAATGGTACGGCTTCCGATAAGGCTCAAGTCGGTATCCTTCTTGACTTTCTCAATGCTTTTTTTATCTTACTCATCAGCTCTTCCAATCAATCAAGATGAGAAAATCGAGGGGAAAGACAATGATTCATGCACGTTGCGTGCCGATGATATTGCTTTACTCTCATTCTCCGTTTTATGTATCCCTGTTTGCTTTCTTCTAGGCCAGAAACTCGGCCAACCCCGCACTTTTGGTACCTTGATGGTAGTATTCAACATTGTCAATTTATTGACAAGTGGAGACCCTCTGGTTTCCAGAGTTGGACATTGGGTGTATGTATATCTTTCTCTCATTCCAAGCCTCAACGTTGTTATCTCATTTTAACGAAGACTACAGTAGCCTTGGGCTTTCATTCACGTTCGTAGCTATTTTCGCCGGACTGTTGGCAAGACGCTTTCGCCACATTACGCGGAGTTTTGGGTAAGATATCTCCCTCCTCTCCTACACAGCACTTTTTTTGTGAGGGACAGTCAACTAATCCACTTAAGAGTAGTCATACAATTCCATTTCTCTTAGTAGTTTGGATGGTGAACTATCTCCTGAACCAGAGTTCGGGGCCTAGTGGATCTAGAGGAGAGAACCCGGACTCTGCCAGTCAATATCTCCTCTCATCATTGGCTTTCACATTGATCTGCTGGTGGAAGATTGCCGAGTGGTCGGTGCCAATTTCGTCCACTAAAGGGGTAAACGCTACAATGGCTATACCGATCGACATGAACCGCCCATTTCGCAATTAAAATGAGCAATCCTAACGTCGATAATATTTCCTGAAACATCGGGGGATAATTTCAATCCAACTATTCGCCCAGGTGTACGGATAAATCTGTTTTTCCAGTTCGCTTTCGCGATACTTTCGCCCCTTTTTGAAACGACCAAGACATTTCTATGACACATAATCATTCTTCTATATTATTATATTCCTCTACTGTCAAAGAGGTAGATAACAGCCGGCAATCGGAATCCTAGTGGTAGTTCATCTGAATACCCAGTTCTTTGGTTTCACCATCAACCATGAGCTATGCACCCTCCTTCCAACGAACTCTCTCGTAAACCCACCTCGTGTATATATTTTCCGCCCCAGGAACACTTTTTTGTTCTAACAAATCTTGTACGAATTTCCTTTGATGTATTGAAGAGCCACATAGCTTAATAGAGCTGATCAAGGCATATCTTCACCGCCTCCAGCTGTACTTGAATTTGGGCTATACGCTCACATCATCCGCATTGGTTCCCACCAAGATCAGTACATGTAACTATATCATGGCCCACCAGGCCCATAACCTCCCCTGGAACACTCTCGCAGCCAAATTCAAGTACATGCCCAAGAACCCACGCTACCAATGGAAAACAAATATATACCCTTCACAAGCCCGGCCAAGCAGAGCAACGGACCTACTTTGCCAATGCCTTCGAACAAACCATCGAGGCTTCTCCGCCAGCGAGAGGGCCAAATACCCACATTCATGCCCGCGACGACCAATCCGAGTACATGCCCACCGCCACGCTGCGAAGGATCGAGCGCACGCTGCAGAAATTCCGCAGCGCGCGCTACGCCAAGTTGATCCAATGGGGTCCCTAGCAGAACCAACCAGTCACTTATCTGACCACAGGCTATTGTGATGGTAGCAGCACCATAGCTCTCAGCGATGAATGTCGACCGATGTCCTTTTGGGCGCGGAGCCATGACGACTGCGATCCGCGGCTCCTGCGCAATCATCTTCGACCATCAGCATGCGGCGGAGAGCTGCTTAAGATGCTCTTTTTGCTTAATGAGATGGATGTGCTTTTGCGCGTCACGTTGCGGCCGGGGAATGCGCAGCCCGTGGCGGATTGGTGGTCGTTTCCGTATGAATTTCCGCCAGATTATGGTTGGCCGGAGTTGATGTGCACAGCATTGATGGCGTATATTTGTTTGGATGTGCTGTATGTTATAGAGGAGAGGAAAGATTGTGGACAATTCTTCAGGTGAGTTGGTGGTGATAGTGAAATGCTGCTGCAGGCCGAAGTTCCGGTTTTCAGAAGGAAAAAAAAAACATCATGACGAAGAAGCTTAAACAGACCAAACTTGTAAAGACAAGGATAAAGAAAACGACACGGATTACCGATGAACAGCCGCCTACCAAATGATGATATGACGTGCATACATGTCTGCACCGCGGGTTCTTCGGCGTCGGGGAAGATATGTATAGGACAAATGACTGGCGTGACAACCCTCTCTACGGCCGGGCATCACTGGCAATGCTGCGCCAACGGTGGCCTGCCTCTATCCATATCCCCTCTAGCGCAGACTTATATATCTCCCTCCACTACCTGAATATAAAGGGCCTTCCCACAGAGCTGGGAATGATGGTGCTTGAATTTGCGAATTACGAACCACATCACCGAGCCATTGTCCCTGACGATCCGCTGCATATAGAGGATGCCCCTGAACTTTGCAAGTATCTAGGCTTCTACTGGCAGTTGCTGGTAAGATGTGATGTGCTGGCGGCGAAGGCATATGGGAAGCGTGTTGATTGGATAGGTAAGGTGACATAGTGTATTTTCCATTTGTTTGGAGTTAAATACCCGAAGATGTTTGATTTTTGGGTTGACAGTGGGTTTAATGACGAGTTTAGGAATTGGAAAGGGAATGAGATTGAGAGATGCTGCATAAAATTTGTCTGATCCGTGTTGGGCTAGGGCTGTTCGTTTTAGCCCTAATTACCAGGAACCAACTCAACATGAGACAAGTTCCAGCACGGACAATAGATATTATATACCTATGAAATCTCAGATACCAAAATGAGGAAAGGGTATTAGTTATGCTAGGGCGCAATACGGGGTGTCTAGCGTCGCTATTCCCGGGCATGATCCAACCCTCGAATCCAGATCAAACAGAGAGAAGCAGCGGCGGTTAAACCTGTCATAGAAACAACGCTAGCACAAGGACGTCGACGATGCAAGTCAAAAAGCTGAATGCCTCACTTCAAAACCCCCCAATCCAAATTCCTCGTAGATACCCTGCCGGAGCGGAATAGGAGTTTCGGCACAAAAGAACGCGAACTATCGAAAAGAAGAAGGGGGGGGGGGATTTTAAGCAACCATGCAATATAGAACCTTCGTTGTATAAAAATCGCGGCTCCCCAGTCATGATAGCTAACAATACAAAAATAATAGAAGCACACCCTTTGGTTATTAAAAGTATACAGTTTTCGTAAAAGGAAGAAGAACTGAAAAATGAGAATGATGATGATATACCAAGGAGCAAAACAGAGGTAGGTATAAGAAATGAGTACAAGGTAGTATAGAAGATAAAAATCCGTCGCAATAATAGAATAAAAAGCGAGGAAAGGGGTGAAACATGGAGAAAGGAGAAGAAAATGAAAAATAAAACAGAAAAATCCAAAACCGCCCATTCACATATATAATAGTATTACAAGTATTTTTTGTATATTCCAACCCTCTTGAAGAACCAAATAAGATCATACAACAAGTGAAAGGACAAATCCAAAAATCCAAATCCTTTTAAGTAATAATCCTCCCATATTATTAACAATAACAAAAACAAAAAAAAAAAAAAAAATCAATGGTAGCAGCGCAGGTGAAATGAATAAGAAGGAAAGGAAACCGGAAGAAGAATATGTAGGGAAGGGGAAAAAAAATAAAATAAAAAAATAAAAAAATAAGGGAGTCTGTGGTCTGCTCTCTTTCAGAGTGAGCGTGGGTCTTGGTATGCCTTCCGAGAGATGAAAGTTGAACATATTCACAGTCTGACCAAATAGTGTGTGCTTGGCACCGATGAAAAGGAGATTAAAGGGGGGAATATTTCACTCTCCATAGTTCTAATTCCCTGGTATGCTTCTGGATTGATAGGTTCGCTTTTCTTTGGGTTTTGATATGGTGTAGATGATTTCGCAAAAATATTGAGTGCCAAAAAGTAAATAAAAAAAGTAAAAGTACAGTATATAAAAGGAAAAGGGTCTTTGAGATATATCTCATGAAAGAATGCAATCGCGGTGAGAAAGAATAAGCCATGGCTGGGGTTTTCTTGTAGTGGCCGCAAGAGGGAGCTAGATGAGAGGAGAAATGAAAAATGTGAAATGTGATATAAAAAAGCAATACATTAAAAGGCAATAGAAATAGATAATACATTACAATAATTAAATGAAATTTATCAAAAATTAAAAAGCTCTCTTAAAAAAAGTGCTTTTTGCGATGAGAGTCGTAAAAGGGTATCAAGCTCAAAGAATTTTGGAACCGGAAAGGTACTTTGTTGTTTCTTAAGAGAAAAGGGTATGATTTATACAGCCGCACCGGTTGTCATATTAAGTGATCCTGGTTTTCTCTCCACATATCTCTACTATAGAGATTGGGGAGACTTGCCGGTTGAATCAGGGCTATAGTCGACCACGTCAGATAGGCGGATTTTTTTCGCTTGAGGTTCAAAGGTACTAGAACCATGTACCAGTTCCCGGTCGATCAACGCCCGCTCGAGTTCAGATATTCTTCGTTTTAGACCCTCCTCGCGCCTCTGAGCCTCTTTCAGCGATTGGTTCAAACGCGATTCGGAGTCTCGAGCAACCATTTCTGATCTTCTCGCGGTCGCGTCGCTTTGTTCCAATTCCGCAACCCTTCCTCGAAACAGTTCATTGATCAACTCGAGCTCGCTGATTCGAGTCTTCAGGGAGGTATTTGCAGCAAGAAGACTTTCGTACGTTTGTTGCGCTTCTAAATGACGATCGTTCGGGGAGGACGTGGAGCTGAGGGAAGGGTTATGCATTTGTAAGGAGGGCAGCACAGCCGCGGATGGATTGAAACTGTGGTCTGAGAGGGTGACGCTATCGAACATATGTTGAGGTGCGATGTTTGAATGGTGTTGAAATCCCGGGGTATTGGTTCGAGACAATGGGGAATTGGAGCGATCGGAAGGGCCTGCGGAACCTTTTCGCGATCCACGATGGTGACCATGGATACTTAAAGGCGGAGTTCCGGCTTCGGATCTCGAACCAGCAAGGCCATTGGCATCGATATTTGACTGTTAAAACATGAAAGTGAGCAACGACTTTTCCTGGTACCAGACCAACGGAATTCCCCCGCAAATCTACATAGAGCATAGAGCCACTACTTACTTTTCTCTTCGGTCCTTGGCCCGAGGTTTTGACCCGATTCCGGCTTTTGATGACATCGGTCTTGAGGCTTATCGGACGAGGACGACCATGGAGCTTGAGGAATAGGCCGCAGGCATTGCACAGGACTGATCCGGATTCATCTCTCCTCCAGAGGGGCGTCGTGGAAGTACCACAGTTTTGGCACACGGGCTGGAATTGGGAGCGTTTCTGGTCAGTCATAGTGGTCGCAATGTTGTAATTGAGACAAGCATGGAGAGGCAAAGCTGTGCCAGAGGAGTAGAAGGCAGAAGGAAAGGGGAGACAGAGGGGGAGCTGGCATTGATCACTGAGTGTTGATAAGATTTCGGCGAGGAATTAATTTTCAGCGATAAGAAACGGAAAAAAAGTTAAAGTTAAAAATTAAAAATTGGGGATGCCAAGCCTGGAGCCAGACTTTGCCTAATTAGGCATATCGCGGAGGTGGACGCGGCCAACTCAAGCCGCAACCAGGATGCAGGGCGTTTTGCAGCAGGAATTGAGAGCAGAACAGCCCGTATATTGCACTTACTGGAGTGTTTCCCTGGCCCCCGGTGGTGGCTCCTGGTGAAGAGGTTGCATAACTCATGTTCTGGCTCGCATTCTGGTTGTTGCTGCTCGCCGTATCTGTGGTCTCGTAGGCGCTGTCGCAGGTTGTATGGCCACGTTAGTCCCTGCTTCAACTCCATTATGAAGTGCAACAGTCACATTGCAGCTGGTAACTGCATGTCTGGTGGCAAATGGGGATTTATCTAGGCGCTTCAATGGCTACCCGATCCGGCCCAATGCCTATGCCCATTCCAACAATAAGTGTTGCCCAGTCTCTGTTGCAAAAGCGAAAATAGAACATACCGTAGATGTGAAGTTGGGGCCGATGTAAGTGAAGCTAGGGTCGAGAGGCGAGGTAGGGAAGCGGAATAGTTGAGGTTATTGCTATCCCGTTTTAATGAGTATGGTGCAGGCAAATTCGCGTTTGATAATGGCGTTGAAGTCGATGAGGGTAGGGATAGATCTGTGGCAGACGGGGGTAAGGAGGAAGAAGATGGTGAAGGAGAGGAGGGCGATGAAGTTTTAATCTGTGACCTAGTCGTGAAATTCGATACGTCCCCAGCTCGTGACGGACAGGTTCGATGTAGAGCCGGGTCAATGGGCGCAGCCCCAAAAGTGACGGGAGCCACGGTGGAAGCCGATGTGAGAGAACCGGGGAACGGGTGGAGGAGTGGCGATAATATGGGAATGGAAACGATTAAACCATATCTAATATAAACGATGCTGGAGAGAAGATGGAGTAGTACATGTAATTGAGGGTTGATAACGGGGCAAGAAGAGAGAAATATTTTTTTTACTTTTATGTTTTGTTTTTGCAGATCTGGCATCTGGGGGGACGACGATAAAGGAGTTGGTGGCGGCTGTTAGGCGGGTTTAGGCGGTGTTCGCACGGCTAGGGGGCGATCTACAGCGTCGTCCGGGGCGGGAACGGGGCCCTGGAACTCTCCATTATTGCTACGTAATATTTAGTTGCGAAGACTCCCGCCAGGACAGTATCTTATATTCAACTTAATTTTTTGCGTCGTTCTCTATTGTGCATTCCCTAGATTCTCACGTTTGAAGCAGCCCGATCTTCAATGTACTCCGTAGTGAGTTGCAAACAAAATAAATAATAAATTATTGCGCCTCTCCTACGTGGTACAACTTAAAATTACGCTTGTCCAACCTCGCCCGGCTCTTTGATTGAGCTTGTTTCTTGCTTCTCAAAACGATACAGGAAGTAATCAACAGTACTTCATGCAGCCAGTCACAGAAGACATTAAAAGGATATTTTACGAGTGTAACGTTGTGTCCTATTGCCTTGCCGGCTTCTGGGATAACATGTGCACCGAAATGCTCCTTTTAGTTTCTAAATTCCGGAGAATTGCTTTGCTACGCTGCAATAATTCTCCAACTTCTCTTGATAGCTGCAGAAATAATGCAGCAAAGCTTATCTATTTGTGATAAAGAACCGGCATGATCGTATCCCTCATGGGTCGCCAGGCTATCAATCACAAAACAGTGCAGTACCTTGTGCATGGCTATATTTCATCTATACGCCGAGTAAGGATGTATATTACATACCGCCCTGGTACTCTCAGAGCCACATAGGCCCGTGGATCAGATCTGACCGCGTTCGTAGGCTCAAGTCAACAAAGCTGCGCAGAAAGATGCCAAATCTGCTCTTATCCTAAATGAGAACTCTCGATGTCCCTCCAGATATCAGAAAAATGCTCATGAGCGTCATTTTGACATCAACTGGCAAAAGGAGTTATGTGAGTGCTGTTGAATCTCGCATAGTCGAGAACATTGCCAGCTTTGTATGAGGAGCTGCAGAATTGCATCACCGGCTAGATGGAGGGAACGAGCTAGGTCGGTTTATAGGATGTGAACCATATTTGAGATCTCGTATTTTAATTCTGTCATGGAATGCATCAGCTTCGAGCTATCAGTGAAACAGAGAAGGAGAAGAGTGAAAGAAGAGAGCCACCCATGCACAACGAACGTATTTGGTTTTGCTTCAACCATCAGCTTCATGATGGTAACCAGTTGACGAGAGAGAATTATCACTTCTAAATCAATCTAAATCAACGACGGAAATACTTATAATCGCGGATTGCTAAATAAAAATTTCCCATCAGGGGGTAAAGGTAAGTTCTAACCTATCGCCACAGTGAGATATCAGGTTTAAGTTGACAATCTCCTGCAAATCAGGCGCTCATTCTAGCGCGCAGCGTGATGGAGTGGAGAGCGTGGTGGGATCGAGGGAGGGAAAAGAAAAAGAAAAAAGAAAAAAGAAAAAGAAAAAGAGAATTGTAGGCTATAGAAGCCGTGAAATATAAAAGAACATCCCCTCTGGTAGTCTTTTAACGGGACTGCACATCGGAGTGACCACAGTCTAAGCGAATTGATCCATCATCCACCGCAGAGCAGACCACCCGCCTCGAGAGGACAGCATGAGGTCGCAACAGTTGGTTGCCTGAGAAGTTCCTGGACATATTCAATGGAAGGAAAATATATTGATCTCCTAGTTACACAGTTAAGTATCAGTCATCCCCAATTCTGACGAGAGGGTTTTTATAAATGGACGTTGACCAAGAGCCGCCCCAAAGCGAACCCGGCAGAGCTCATGCTACAGTATCAAAATAAGCATGAAAAGAACACATCCGGTACCTAGATATAGCAGTGCAAAATTGCCCTAAGTATCCAGCAACGATGCCTGTAACTGTGTCTGTGCCTGAGCAAATGCCAGGGTCCTGGACATGGCAACATTATGGAGCTTGTGGATGGGCGCTCCATAAGGCTATGATGCTTACAGATATGAGTTGGAAGATCCATGGATGCTGATCCTACAATTCTTTCTGGGAATTATCATGTCCCTCGGGAGCGTTGTATCCTGTCTTGAGCCTCTTTCCCACTCCGGGAAAACATTTTTCTTTCGGGAACGAAACGAGCACGCTAAGAAGACGGGATATTTAAATAAGGGTCGAAAGGACGCTAAACCGACTCAACTACGCAGCTAGTTTCTTAAAAAAGGAAATATTTGTGGATGAACTCAAGTAGGCGATTGGGCTCCATATCTCTCAGAGCACATCAAGCATCGAAAATATTCAAGCGCCGGCCCCCATGGGCCATTGTCCATGGGCCCACAGCAAAAGACAGCGGACAGGCTCTCCTCCTCACTCTTCAAGGGAGGAGGCTCCTAAATGCCGCCAAACAGGGGCAACCTGATACGCCCAATGGCTGGCCGAAGGATTCCACTGTCACATTGGTTGGCTTTCCAAATCCTTCCTTCGTTGGCGCGATGCGGGCCGAGAACATGAAGGATTTCCTTCTGCCTTTTAGTCGTCCCCAGGGTCACCGAACTCGATGGTGAATTTTTGGTTCTTTCAGAGCTTCCTCACACGTTGTGTTTCTTCCTTCCTTCAACTCTCGACTCCGTCATAAATCGTCAGAGCTTGGGATTCTGCGGAGAACGACAGCATTTCTCACAACCGTCGAGAACAGGCGAGGCACAACCGCCATATCTTCCTAACGACGAAACCTACGGAAATAACACCGAACACCAGTGTTAGCTATGGCGCGGTTCACCGCAACACTCCGCCTTGTCGCGACGTTGTTATCATTTTGCGCGATCGGGGTGCGATGTCAAGGGAGAATGTGCTACGCCCTCGACGGCACTGAATACCCTTTTGATGTGCCATGCACAAATGACGAGGTTACCGTGTGCTGTAATTCAAAAGACATCTGCATGTCAAATGGACTCTGTTATCTTCAAGGCTCACACGGTTCCGTGTTGTCAAGAGGATCTTGCACGGATAAAAACTGGGGCCCTGGCTGCTTTGCACCTTGTTGTAAGTATATATGCCTCCCTAGCTTTATATTATTGTTGTTATTCTTATTCTTTTATTTATCTATTTGTCTATTTGTCTTTTTGCACGTATCATATTTTGCCTGATTGCATCACGAGCACCGTTTTTCCTCTAAATGCCTTTTTCCTGCTGATTTGTTTCGAGATTATTAAAAAGTTAACCACTCCTTCAAATAGCCAGTTACCATCGCCACATCGGCTTTCCCATCGTCAATTTTGGTTTCCAAGGGAAAGATTCTAAATACTGTTGCGGCGGCTTCGAAATTGTCGACGGAAAGGTGGGCTGTCTAAACGGGGACTCAACCTTCTCGCTGCCTCCTGGTCAAGCTATCGTAGGGGTAGCAGGTCTTGTCAACAACTCTTCCCCAAGCCCCACCCCCACCAGCACTGCCAGCACCACGAGCACTGCCAGCACCACCAGTACGGGCACCAGAACCACCGGCACGGGCACCAGCACCACCGCCACTGGCACCAACACCGACCTCCCGCCTACGCCTACAGATACCGGCTCACCCGTACACACCACTCCCCCCGTAACAACATGTCCCTCTCCCCGTGACACAGTCATCGGAGTTGGTATCGGAGTCCCTCTCGGAGTCATCGCTATTGCCGCTCTTGCATGGGCCATCTGGGAGCGGAGTGGTAGACGCCAGGCACTGGCGGCTGCGTCGGCGGGCGGTGCTGTCTACTCCGCGCAAACTGAGTATGCCCACCCACCCCACTACCAGAAGCCTGTTGCGGAGTTGTCTGAACGAGGTGTTATTTCGGAATTGATGGGGAGCGGACATCATAACCTTAAATAAGGGGGTAAATGGAATGAGATGGGATAGGGGCGAGTATGGAGAGCCGGGAAGGGGAGGGGGTTCACGGAGCTAGTTCATGGTTTGCTTGCTATGTACGAATGGTAATAAAAGTACTTATCTGGGACTCCTCCGAGCCGATGTAAATATATTGGAAATCAAGTGGGGAGAAAGATACGTTCAGCTTGTGGCCGGCCCCTCGTATTTTTTACCTTTATTTTATTTTACTTTATAATTTTTTTTTCTTGTCCTTCTTGTGTGTATTATTTGTCTGATTTTGTGTGTTTTATCTGTTCATCTTGATGGTGTTGACTTTTCCGGCTTAGATAGTACTTCTCCTTTTTTGCTGTGTAAGGGAGTCATTGTTTATTTAAAATGGCACATTACATTGTTTTACTCGTGCTTTCGCTTCCCCCACCACACCTATGGTTGTTTAATATATGTAAATTCTTTGATACTACTATATTCTCCGCTCAAAAATATACTTATATTATTGATATCTTACTCATATCTGATGTTGTGATGAAGATATACATATATATATTTAATAGGTATCTTTTATATGGTGAGCCCATACAAAAGACACAAGTTGCATTGTTGTGATAATAGAGAAGCAAAGGCACAAGTAGTCCTGTTATCCAAGGGAAACAGTTTTAGGGTTGCTCTGGAGGATTTGGTTGTTTCTGACCAGTGATAACCAGTTTTTATTTAATGTTTGGTGCTTGGTTTGAGATTGCCTCAATGTATGGATCAGAGCTGCATTTTATATTCCTCAGTTGCTTGTATCCACCCACCACCATGCCTTAAAGTGATATTTTTTGGGTTATAAGCAGCACACTGACAACATTTATGTGCACAATTATAATCAATTGAATTCCCATTCATCAGTCATCAAATCTGCTGTACGGAGTAGTCCCCTTGCCAACAAGATCTCTTGATAATAGAAAAAATGTTGCTGCCTCCTCCCTGGTGTCCATTTGCAGCCCCTGAATATCTGATATCACATGACTTGGCTCCCCAGAACCCATTCGTTTACATAAGCAGTCTAGATCACATGTTCTTCAACATCTTTACAAGATCGATGTGTAAATTAAATAGGAGCCTTTATTGATCTTCATGCTTCGGCTGCTAAAAAAAACTCGACGACCGCTTTATTATCCTGATTGCGTATAACATATTTTGCCCCTTGTTGCTTTCCTCTACTTGTAATTGGTTATGTCAAAAGCGTCTTGAATTGTTGAATGCGTGATCTTCTCCGGAGTGTTGCCGCCTCATCCCTTGCCCATCAATGAAGCTACGTTCTGTTGTGCCAAGTATTTATTTGACCTTCCCTTACTCCTAAGAACCGCCCACCCATTTCTTCCTCACAATGGCGCCCAAGAAACATCGTCCTGCTACATCCGGCTATGAGCGCCTTGCTCAGGCTGATGAAGAAAGAGATCATGACTTTTACGACTACTCCGATGATGAGGACCCCTTCGCCGCGCCTCCTCGCCTCTCCACCTCCGCCCCCAGATACGCCCCTATTCATTCCCGCCCCCAGATGCATGCATCAGGACGGTCTTCACCAACTAGTTCCCGGCACCGCCCAAATAGATCTCGAAGGCGTGTGCGGAGTAATTCCGGTGTGGATATAAAGGCCATCAATATGCGGCTTGAGAGGTGGGCGGAAGAAATCGCCGCCAAGTTCAAGATTCACAAGGTTAAGGGAAAGACTGCCTCGGAAGAGAAATTGGAGATACACCACTCCGTATTTCAGCCTCCCGATGGAATTCGCCCAGTTACGTCTGAATCCCTCGAACATGACCCTGCAGATGCAGATCGGATGACCAAGGAGGAATTCGAAGCTGTTGTCGATAGCGTGAGAACTGCAATCGAGTTAGGGGTACACCCGAAGATGATATCACAGGGTAGCTCGGGGAGTTACTTTGCAAGAAATAGCCAGGGGAAAGTCGTGGGTGTTTTCAAACCGAAAGATGAGGAACCCTACGCATCACGAAATCCCAAGTGGACGAAATGGATACACAGAAATTTGTTCCCCTGCTTTTTCGGCCGAGCTTGTTTAATTCCTAATTTATCTTACGTTTCCGAGGCCGCTGCCTACGTCCTTGATACCCGCCTAAAAACAAACCTTGTCCCCTACACCGACATCGTCTATCTATCCTCGAAATCCTTTTACTACGACTTCTGGGACCGTCGGAGTGCTTGGGGTAATAGGAAACAGTTGCCGGCAAAAGTTGGTAGCTTTCAAGTCTTCTTGAAGGGCTATAAAGATGCCAACATATTCCTCCGTGAGCATCCCTGGCCCGATCAACATAACTCCGGCTTCGCTGCAGGGGATGCACCAAGGAGGAAGAAGCGTCCTTGGAATGAAGCATGTCGACCATCCGGCGCCCAGTCCGATGACGAAGATGAATATGAAGACCGTCATTTCTCCCCATCTCCTTCGCAAGAAGAGTCCCCCCATCCTCGGTTTTATTGGTCCGAGAACCTCAAGCAAACCTTCCGCGAGGAGCTTGAAAAGCTGGTTATCTTGGATTATATCATGCGTAACACAGACCGTGGATTGGACAATTGGATGATAAAAATCGACTGGCAGACTGAGAATGTCTCTATCGTTGCTGAACCGCCAAAGGTAAACGGCACAAACCATTCGGATGATGATGACCATACTCCCCCGCCACAGCCTGTTTCTTTAAGCTCGGATCGTCTAGGCTCAGGCATTCGGCCATACCGGCGCCAGGAAACGATGGTTGCTGTTAGCCGGTCAGCGACACCGTCCAATGCGCCAGATCTACCCCACCCCAGCATATCCATCGGAGCTATCGATAATAGCTTATCGTGGCCCTGGAAGCATCCTGATGCCGTAAGTTGAATACCGTCAGTATTTGCTTAAGCTATGAGAGCGGCATACTAATATTTTAATTTTATGAAACAGTGGCGAAGTTTCCCCTTTGGTTGGCTTTTCCTTCCTGTTTCTCTCATCGGTCAGCCGTTCTCGCGAAAAACTCGAGACCATTTCTTGCCTCTCCTTACGTCGACCGCCTGGTGGAGCGGCACACAAACTGCTCTGCGGCGGGTCTTCAGTCAGGATTCCGATTTCAAAGAGAGCATGTTTGCGCGACAAATAGCAGTTATGAAGGGTCAGGCATGGAATGTGGTCGAGACTCTCAAACAACCAGACCATGGACCCCTGGAGCTTACGCGAAGAACACGAGTATGCGTCTGGGACGACCTGGTCGACATCCCCGTTGCCATCCCGCTCCGCGTCTCTTCTACCGAAATGCAGAAGCGACGAGAGCTAGATCGCGAGCAGGAGGAGATGGATATCAGTACAGCCATATCATCCAACTCTGGGCCACACCGTGATCTCTTAAACCTAGGCTCACCATCCCATGAACTTCCCAACCCTAACAGATTCGCGCTGTCCCGCGATGAGAGAGGCTCCGCAGACTCCAGCGGCAGAAGAGAAGTGGCGGGCAGCCCGACTTCGCTTGGTGGTTTTAGCCATAGCAACTTTGACGGGGTAGACGAAGACAACGAGCGGGATCTCACAGCGAGCTGGACAGCTGCTCCCGTCCGCGCTACTGCATCTAACCCATCGAGGCCCAAATTAGGTGTCGATTCCAAACATGCAGCACATAAAAAGAACGCCGCATCCTTTACTCATCGGCGGGGCAGCGTGGCGTTTATGTTCGGCGGCGATGATCTTGAAGGTGACCTTGGCTACGCGGCGGCGGAAGAGATGGAAGGGAATGAGCGCAAGGTGATCGTCGAGCGACTCGAGGCTGTCAAGAGCAAGAACCCGGTTTTCACCTGGTGCTGAACAGGAAGAAGTGCAATCTAATGATTATAAACATTTATTCCTTTGCTCATTCACATACATGGTTTTGGTTGGGCAAAATGCACCTTTCACTTACCTTAATGTTCTCTGTTTTGTTCCCGCCTTGCCCCCCTCTCTCCAATGCGGGGGGTTTCTTCTCCCAATGATATGTCTATCTCTTTATTTCGCATTTCCCGTTTTACGTTTGTCATCTATGTCTAGGATATACAATTGGGGTCATGGCATGAGCATATGGAGTTATATTAGCGTTGTTGGCATGTTCCACTTTCCTGTCTTCTTTGCTTTTCTCATTCTTTTCATTACGGTCTTTTATTAAAGGGAGGATTCTTTATTTTTGACCGGCTTGTGGTGGAATTAATAGAAACCTGCCTTCCTTGGGTTCGCCAATATCGTTTCTTATTCGTGGTGTTTTCCGGGTGGTATCGCAAGCATGCCCAAGATACATAGCTCTTCAACTTTTGCCTTCTCGATAATGTCTTTCCATTTTTTGCCGAATTATATTTATATCTTATTTCCTTCTACTAACCTAGAATATGTATATACGTACATAATATTAAATAACCCAATACTTTCCCTGTTATCAAGTCTATTCTTTCCCCCGCAAAATGTCTGCGTATCTTTCTTGGCCGAGTTTAAATATCCACCTATACCTATTTAGGTCAGGTCACATGCCACTCCGGCTTATCTTATCTGCTAGCGCCATCTCGACTCTTTCCCCCATATATATCCCAATGCGTCATTCCACTCCCCCTTCCAGATTCCTCCAACATCGCCAATCACCTCCTACATCTATCACGGTGTCTATCCGGACTGACCAGTGAATGAATGGCTAAGCACATTTCATCCAAAGCATCACTGGCCAGATTGAGGCGGAACTCAACACACTGCGCGTGCCTTTGCCTCCCTCGCTCGCTCGCAAACTGAGCTTCTCGATTCAGTCTGCCATCGAACTGGTCTCGAGTCCACCTCCCCCTTCACCTAACCTTCACATCCTTTTTCTTTTTCCTGATATAATCTGCGGATGCCTTCTCGACATGAGTTGTGCTACATACTTTTCCTTAAACTTTTCGTGTTTTTCATGTTTTAAATTTTGATTTCTCTCCTTGCGGCAGCTTTCCGGATCTTTCGAGGCCAATTTCCTTGATACACATCCCGGACGAAAATCGAAAATACCTCCCTGAGTTAACATGAATTCTTCTGCGGCAGTCCTGCTGGACCCGAAAGCTTTTAAAAAGCAGCCGGCGAAAAGTATGTTTGCATTGCGCTCAGTTTCCTTTCTGTCTCACCTCTTGTCTCTCTGTACGGCTGGGTCGCAAGCTCTGAACGCATTTTCTTTTGTTCACATCTCATATATAACGACTCCCCCTTTTTGTTACCCTCTTAAAACTCCACTTACTCCGTCCGGTTCCCATGCTCACTTCGACTTTTTGTACACATAGGCTCAAGCTCCAGCTCTCCCCGACCCGCTAGTGCGCCCTCGGGAACAGCCTTCGATCCCAGAGTGTTATTAAGCCCTCGAAGCTTGAAAGCGCGCAAGCCAGGAACAAATGCTAGTGCACCAGTATCTCAGACGCCTACTACTCCGCAACACAGCAGCGATAACCAGAGCTATTCTGCCTCGGCTGGAAACGCGAGTGATTCCCAAAGCGAGAAGACGGATTCAACGCGTGGGTTGGAGCCGAGTCGGTTTGACCGTCATAGAACTATGATTGAAAATATGTATGGGGTTGAAGAGCGCGGAGTTCAACCACAGAAACGGATAAAACGCGACGCGAATCGCCATGCTAGTTCGGAGCAGAAGTTCGCTTCCAGTGCTAGACGGGGGCTGGCGGATTATATGAAGGAACGTTCGGGAGCCAGTACTCCGTCACTGTCTGAAGTGGCGATGATAGATCTTACAAGAGGTAACCACCTCCAGCGCGTTCCTCGATGAATTATATATTTGTGCTAACAATTAACCTAGATGACAAAAATGAAGATGACGATGTGGTTTTTCTTGGTAATAAGGATTTAGGAATGGAGGAGGTCTGCTATGGAAGAATTGAAGGCGCGATGGTTTACGCTCACCAAGTTCCTCGTTCAATGAAGTCGGTTTTTGGCGCCACATCATCTGATTGGCCCTCTATTCGATGTCAACTTTTTCGTACTCGCGGCCCAGATACAAGGATTGAGGTTGCAGACCCTTCACAAAATGTATTTGGGATCATTGACCATCGAGTTTCAGCAGCCTTAGTGCCGCTTCTGGACTCGACAATCATCAAGGTGCGGACTCAAGCTCGGCTCGACGTCCGCAGGAAAAAGGAAAACGAATGGCCGGGGCAAGCTTGCTCGGAGATATACCGCATAACTATAAACCTCTACGGTCCCAGGAAGATGGCCGACGGGATCGGGAAGCATCTTGGCCAGAAGAACGTTTGGCTAGGGACGCCCAACTCAGTTGAAGCTGGGATGTCGACCTACAACCCCCATGCCGAGAGACGCCTTGTTCGAGCGGCGAGTACCGCGAATCGACTTGCAGTCCAATCAGAAACACGGACAGCAGAAGAAATTAACAGTGCTGTCACGAAAATGCTCGATCAGTTGACTAGCGCTGAAAATATTCCGCAAATGGAGCCGCCTGCTTCGATAAAAACGCCTCTACTTGCACATCAGAAACAAGCGCTGTGGTATATGTTACATAAGGAAAAGCCCCGAACGTTTGGTGAAAAGGAAGAGGAAAACAATTCTTTATGGAGGATCCATTACCAGTCGAACGGCCAAAAGTGCTATCGCGATATTATCAGTGGTGTTACGTTGTTCGAGGAGCCACCACAAGTTTATGGAGGCTTATTGGCGGATATGATGGGTTTGGGGAAGACGTTGAGTATTCTATCGCTTGTCATATCTACCCATCTCGAGTCATTAGAGTGGGCATTACACACCGTCGACAAGAGATTATTGAACAATCCTGCAGCACGGAATGTAAAAAGCACCCTTTTGGTTTGCCCTCTAAGCGCAGTAGGGAACTGGGTTAACCAGATCGAGGAACACCTGGAGGAGGATGCTCTGTCATATTATGTCTTTCATGGACCTACAAGAACAGAGGACCCGGATGAATTATCAAAGTACGACCTCATCATCACTACTTACAGCACAATACTCAGTGAGCTATCTGGCAAAAGCACGAAGAGAGGAACTAGCCCTCTCACCCGTATGAACTTGTTCCGTATCGTTCTCGATGAAGCACACGCTATCAGAGAACAAAGCGCTGCTCAATCCCAGGCTATATTTGCGCTAAATTCTCAATGCCGTTGGTCGGTCACTGGAACACCGATCCAGAACCGACTAGAAGACTTAGCGTCTGTCACGAGGTTTTTGAGGCTCCATCCGTACGTGGAGAAGGCTCAGTTTGCGGCTTACATTATTGCTCCATTTAAGTGTGAGAATCCGAAGGCAATCCCGAATCTCCGCATGCTCGTTGATTCGTTCACTCTCCGCCGCGTTAAAGATCGCATTAACCTGCCACCTCGCCATGACAAGGTCATCACCTTGACGTTTTCGGAGCGCGAAAAGATGCTCCATGAGTTCTTTAGAAAGGAGTCTAACGTAATGATGAATGTAATTGCTGGCGAGAGCAAAGAAAAGATGCGAGGGAAAATGTATCATCTAGTTTTAAAGGCGATGATGGTTCTGAGACAAATTAGTGCTCATGGAAAAGAACTCCTCGATCAACAAGACCGGGACAGGTTTAAAGGGTTAAGTGCCACTGACGCTATTGATTTGGAGCAGCCAACTGACGAGGATTCTTTAACCGTCACGGAGAAAAAGGCATATGAAATGCTCGCCCTGATGAAAGAGTCGGCCGCAGATGTGTGTGCAAGATGTGGAAACACCATCACGCTCCAATCTCCAGAAGATAGCCCGAGCGATAAAGATCCACTCATGGCAGCCATGCTACCATGCTATGATACTGTTTGCGCAGAGTGCTTCCCGCCAATTCAACAAGTTTTCAATGAAAACGCAGGCAAACGATCCCAGCTTTGCTGCACATTCTGCAAAGGCCTAATTCCCGTAACATATTCAGCCATTACGTGTCGGGGCTTTGAGAAATTCCAAGCATCCCAATTATCCACAAGACATAATCCCAAACAAGCTAAGAAATTCGGCCAGTACGAAGGACCGCATACAAAAACCAAAGCGCTCATCTCACACCTCCTCGACACAGTGGAAGAAAGTAAGAAAGCGCCCGATGAACCCCCGATCAAAAGCGTCGTATTCTCCTCCTGGACATCGCACCTGGACCTAATCGAAATTGCACTAGAGGATAACGGAATCACTACTTTCACTCGCCTCGACGGCACCATGTCTCTCAAACAGCGCAATGCCGCCCTCGACGAATTCCGCGACAACAACGACATCACCGTCCTCCTCGCTACTCTAGGCGCGGGGGGCGTCGGGCTAAATCTCACCTCAGGATCTAGAGTGTACATCATGGAGCCGCAATATAACCCAGCAGCGATTGCGCAAGCTGTGGACCGGGTTCATCGCCTAGGCCAGACGCGTGAAGTGACGACCATCCAGTTCATCATGAAGGATAGCATTGAGGAGAAGATTGCGGAGCTGGCAAAAAAGAAACAGCAGATGGCAGATATGAGTTTGAATCGGAGCAGGTTGGATAGGAGGGAGTTGCAGCAAGAGAGGATGAAGGAGTATCGGAATCTGTTTACGTGAAAGTGAAGCTTGTGGTCTGGCTTGCCTCGCTTTTTACGGTCTTACTTTGCATGTGGGATCATCGAACTGGATTCCCGCTTTTTTCTTTTTTCTTTTTTCTTTCTTTCTTTCTTTCTTTCTTTTTTTTTTTTTTTTTTGCTTCCCCTTCTCCTTCTTCTCCTTCTTCTTTTGTTTTATAAAACTCCTTCGCATCTACCACGACTCACGACTCATACACGACTCACGATCGCACCGTGTCCGAGGGTGCTAGTCACCCACTCACATACATCCATCCATGGGCAACAATTTTCACATTACCTTCAGAAAAACATCACCCTTTCCGGCGCGTGAAACAAGGAGCCACAATTCGGATTCCGATAGATGATAGATAGAATATGGCTATGTTTGGCTGGCAGAGATTTAACCGCATTTATCTGGATTTGTTATCACTTGCCTTCGAAAAAGACTTTTCTTTCTCCTCTCCTTTCCTCTTCCTTTCACATCATTTTATTTTATTCTAATGTTTTTTATTCCCAAATTCACGATTAACATATACCCAGAATACTTTTTGTTTTCTTTTCCTTCTTCTTTTGCTGTTTCATTTTCACTTCATTTTATATTTTTTTCATCTTCGTATCCCTTTTGTATGCACATGTACATGTACATCCCATTCCAAGACCTTTTACATTTGTTTGTAACACCTCTGCCCATGGCGGCGCGCTTTTAACTTTGGCGGGCTAATGATTTACTCTCGAATTCGCAGCTTATTTCATCATTCCTGCCCGATGATGAACTATTTGATAGTCCTGTGGATTTTTGCTTCTCGAAGTCTCACTCCTACTCTTAGGTTCGTTCCACATAGATAAATAGATATCTGGAACAAAAAAAAGTGAGGTATCTCGGATTGTTTACCTGATCCCTCTTGTCTACTTATATATCAATTTACAAGCAACGGAATCATGTATTTTTATCATTAGATAATGACGACATACTGCCATATCTCGTGGACTAAGTCCACGGGGATCTCTCACTCAGGAAGGCAGTGCCAATGCCCTATAAATTTTAGTGTCAATAATAGGAAAGCAATGAATATCTAACAGGTCAAAGGAATCCCATCCACAAGCAACCACAAAAGAACGCACCACCACCATCCATCCAACGCCGTCCGTACTATTTATTTAATAAATCCCCTCCTGCCAAAGAAAGTTACCCATAAACCCAGAAAACTCCAAAAACGACCAACCACCCTCCCCGAAGAGTATCGTTCCCTTACCCCCTCCCCTCCACAGCTCCCAACAGCTCATCAACCCTCTCCCCCAACCTCCTCATCTCCCTCCTCTTCTCCATCCTCTCCGCCTCCACAACCCTCAACTCCTCCGCTAGCCGCCTAATCCTCTCCTCCTGCTCCGTCTCACTGCTCCCCACCCCAGGTAAAACGCTGATGAGGTACTCAATCTGCTGCTCTTTGACGATTAGGTCACGCGCTAGCTCGCGCTGTCGTAGCGCAAAGATCTCGGGGGTATCTGGGGTGGGTTCTGCTTGAGGCGATTCTTCTTGCTGGGCTTGTGCTTCTGCGGCTGCGGGGGTGGTGGATTGTTGGGCTTGTGAGGAGGCAGCGGCTTCACTAGTGCCTTTGGCGGTGGTGGATACAGTAGTTGTGGGAGGAGGGTTTTTGGGAATCTTTTTCAGTTGTGGGATTGCGGTTGGGACGTTGGAGGGTGGGGTTGCGGCGGAGTGGTCGTGGTATGTTGTTAGGTAACAGAGGGTGGCGTAGAATTGGGTTGCGAGCTAGATGCAGGTGATTTAGCTTTGGTTAGATAGGACTTCTAATTTTTTTTAGTTTTTGGTTTATATCTGTGGAACGGATTAGGTATACCTGGTCCAAGCATGTTTGGAGCTGTGTGAGAATGTCTGCCATCGTAGCTGATGTGGTGGTGGAGCGGAGAGCGGTAGCTTCCCTCGCTAGTAGTTGAGGATGGTGGGCTATTATTTTGAATATGGATAAACTGAGATTAAGCATATACAATTGTTTATCGCGATACGCATAGAACTGCCCGTTTCGTGCGGAGTTCGTCATGCGGAGTGAGCAATGTGATATCAGTTGAGAATGCGACGGGGAAGGATGATGAGGTCAGCAGCTGAAGCTCTGAGCTCCGGCTTGGCAACGGTCTGAACCTTCGATGCGCGACAAAGCAAGGGAGCTAATAGGACAAAATCTTTCCATAAAACATTATTCTCACCTCCAACTAATCCAATGATACATATACGTCCCTTTCTACTGTTCTCTCGGCTATCTGCCCGCACTCCTCTACAGTGTGCTTACCGGTTATTCTCCGATATTCCCGCTCCGCCCATACCCCCGGCTTCCCCGACCTCCCAGCATCATGACCTCCCTTCATTCCTCGACTACGCCGCGAGAACTTCTCTAGACCCAACAAGTACCACGTACGTCGGTACACACTACGAATACACTGTCCGTCAGGCCCTCCGCCGCTGGGCTCTCGACCTGACCCGCATAGGCGGCAGGCTAGACTCCGGCATAGACCTAGTGGGCAGCTGGCATCTTCCGGACCCAGACTCACAACCGCTACGCGTCATCGTACAATGCAAGGCTCTGAAAAACAAAGTAGGTCCGAACGTGGTACGGGAGCTAGAGGGAACTTTTGCAGGAGCACCGGTGGGATGGCGCGGCCAGGGAATACTGGGCATGCTCGTAAGCTCGAGGGAGTCTACGAAGGGGCTGCGGACTGCGCTGTTGAAAAGCAGGTACCCCTTGGTATGGATTTTTGCGGAGTTAGATGGTCGTGTTCGGCAGGTTTTGTGGAATAAAAGGGCGGACGATGCGGGCTTGGCAGCATTGGGAGTTGAGGTTAAGCATGCAGGGGAAGTGCAGGAGGGTGCTGACGATAAGGTTGTGTCTGTAACCTGGAATGGAGAGGAGATTAAGGGTCTTCCGGAAACGCTTGGATGAGTGCTGACGACTTGCCTACAATGCTTGTCTGGCCCAAGTGATCACCGTGCTCAGGGTCGTTCCCGCAGTTCAAGCAGCTAATACTGCTTCGATCGTTCCCGAAGAAATCCCGGACCCTTAAAATGGGGTGATACATTACCACTTTCTCAGGTGTATCGTTTTAAAGGTACCTGATTCTCTGAGTATTGGATATTACTGGGAAAAGAAGATGAGCAGGCGCACCAGAACGCGCGCACCCGCACATACAGATGTGCAAACACGCAAGACCCTGGAAATTATATCAATACAACTTGAAAGAATAGGCCAGCTCTGGGAAAAGGAGATAGAGGAATGGAGAGCACAAGGCGCATTGCAATCCACCGGTTGCAGAATAGCACCACGGCAATGCAACATCATCTGAGGAGGTCTAGCCAGCTTATTGAGAAGGAAGATATTCTGTTCAGGTCTTGAATAGGGTTATGACACCCTCGAATTGGCAAAAAGGGGGTTATTTACAGCGGCACTAGCGCCGAAAGCCCGCAAACTCCTCTGGCCAATTGATAAAATTCAATCTTACAGCGGCATACTACTATCCAAACAGACAATCTTAGTATATTGCTCAATATCTGTCTATCAATATGTAACTATTTTTTTAACCCAGGTTGAGTTTTATTTATTGGAATCCTCCTAACCACGCTACGCTACGCGACGCTAATCTTCTACAACCGAGGTAACTTAACTATCTTTAAGGAAACGAGCGAGGTAGCAACACTACATAAACCAATGAGCTTTTCTTTCACCAAAGCAATACCAACTCCATTGAATAATTAATCCAAAAAATTACTCTGATTGCTATATTTCACTTTGCACAACGACCCATACCCACATATAGACAAAACGTAAAGAAAAAACGAATCACGATGTCAACAGCATACAAAACCACCGCTGCTATGTTCGCACTGCTCGCAGTTGGCCATACGGTATGTGGTTATATAAATATAGTAATTGATACCTATTGAATAAGGGTGTCTTGATAGCTAATTATTTAACCCCTTCCTTAATTATATAGCTTGCGAGCAAATCGTTCATGAGTGATCCGCAGTTCAAGGGCCTGCCACGGCATGTGGGCGCCTTTTCGAGAGCTGGGTGGTATCAGGTATGTAGTAGCTTTTCTTTTCTGATTTATTTCGTTTCAAGTTATCGGAATTATTTCCGTTTGGGGCTTTTGGGTCGTCTGAATCAGGCGAGTATGTGGAAAGATTTATTATAAGGAAGACAAGCTGGGATCCCCATATCCTTCATTTTGATGTCTTGTTTAAGATAATCCATTTGGTTTTGTTTCCTACATAATATCATAAGAATGCAAACTCGAATTTAACTAATACCCGAGTATCGGCATTCACAGGGAAGCATCTTCTTTCTCATTGTTGGTAAGTTTTATCTCATACAGGTTCAAAAGGGGGTATCATAGTCATCCATACACGGCGCCTGTCTGCCAGTAGGCTTTCATCGCCGACAAAAACGGCGATAAAAAAGGAAAAGAAATGAAAAGAGAAATTCGCCCAGAAAGAGCCGATAAAAACGAAAGGGACATATCCCCATTCTTCCTCCCTAAACTAACCCGCCATCGATAGCATTAACCAACTACCGCTGGTCCCAATCGGCGCAGGGTGCCCTATCCGATCCAATTGAAAAAGGCATCGCCGCTCTAACGTCCATCCTCTGCTTCGGTACATCCGCATGGTACAACAAGAATGGTATTAGAGACACAGCAGCCGTTGTTGGGTTTGCTGGCATGGTGCAGAGTTATGCTGCTTTTCTCTCGAAAGCATGAGGGATGGGATCGGGATCGGGATGTAGCTAGTTTCGGTAGGTGTATAACATCAACGAATTAAGGGGCTGAATGGAGGAATTTTCGCCACGTGTGCATGTTGGGTGGAATACGAGGTTTCAAACTGATCGCGCGTTACGCATCTCCCGCTTTTGTATATTGATAAGCGGAGTTGATGTACAGAGTATTTTTTTTCCCCTCTTCGCTACCTTCCTCTTTTTGTAAATGTCGTGGTCATAGCACTAAGGTGTAAATAGCGGAGCTAGACAAAGCGAGAATAGACGACTGAAATTAAGGCGCACGAGCACCTCGCGACCTTCAAGGAAGGTAAACCATCTTTTGTACCTAGAAAGCCCAATTCCAACCGTAAATAGGGATAATTTCTCTTCTATTCAACCCTTTAAGTGCGAGGAGATAGGGATAGCGGGGGTTGCAATATCAACCAAGTTGAAATCCGTGAATATCGTAGAAGCTGGCAAAGTAGTCGTTTCATCATCATTGATGCCATCCAGGAACGGGCCAGCCGTTCTTACCACCACCCTTTTCCGGCCAGCCATCGGGGACGCGCGAAATGTTGGGGAGAATATATCTGTTCTCGCACCTGACAACAGTGTTGCAGGTCAAGTTGCACAGCCCAAATGTCATACAGTAGCACTCTGCTGCTGGGGGACAGTAGACTGGTGGCATTTGCATGATGACTGTAGCAAAGCTATATTAGCCGGTATGTCACCCAATATATATACCTAAGTATAAAAGACGATAATGCCAGATGGAATGGGTATTAAGGGAGAAAAATGGAAAAGAAGAATAAAAATGAAATGAATAAAAAGTATAAATTCGACACATACTATGCCACATATACTCCATAACACGCCCACAAACCGCATCAGGAAGATCCGTCTCCATGACCCAGCGTCGCATCAACTTGTAGCTCTCCTTGGACCTTTTCCTCACCTGGTCCCTAGTCACAGCGAACTGCGACGAGCACGGCGCCCCGACAACTGACGGAACAGGGGAATTTGGAAGCATTTTTTGAAACGCAGCCGCATACGCGGCCTCTGAACGTTGGCGATTTTCCGGGCCCACGTCTGTAGGATTTAAGGGGTGTAATTCTGCAGGACAGCCTGGAATCCACGTGCAGCGGAGGGGCGCATAGCCAACTTTGTATACATGCTGGAGGCGGAGAGAATGGATGATTGGAACAGCATCTTAATAGCAACGGGTTAGTTATGTTAGTTTGGCACACGAATTATGTATTTGCGAACTTGATGCCCTTAAAGGCTTAAAAAAAAGAAGAAAAAACAAAAAGAGGGAGAGGGAGAGAGTGAGAGGAAGAGAGAATTGCAGGGCATGCTTGTTGCAAGCAGTTCATACCGTAAACCGGATCATCGTTATGCCACTGATATCGATTACTATGCATAAAGATCATGATATCTGGGAGTTTATCATAGTGATCAATAATATAGCTAACCATCATCACAGAGTTAGAAAATACACAATATCTGGGGAAAAAATTAACATTTACTGACGTCAGATACACCATTGACTCCCTAGCTTTATTCACCGGCACGGTCAATTCTGCTCGTGGATTATCCACGACATAGATGTTGGCATGCCAATCTGAGAGATGTTCCCCGACCCACGTAGTATCATCCTCCTTCAGACTTGCGACAACTATGTCTTTGGACCTAACGAGCTCAATAGACTGTTTCCATGATGGGGGGAGTGTCGATGTAGAACTTATAGTATCCATACACACGTAATATACCGAGATAAACAACAACGATAGAGCCAAGAGCGGCCTTGAATTGGACCTGCAAGAACGGATAAGCGCGTTCATTTAGCCCAGAGTGTAGAAGAAATATAAAAATTAACTCTTCAAAAATATTTCGCTAACTATACTTTGGCCATTTGATATTTACAAGAACTAACAATATGTCTCGCAGATGTTGTTGCTATGGAAGCCAAATTAGGGCTTGAGGTTGTCACATGATCCAGCAGTTGCCCGCCCCCGCCCGCCCCAAGTGGCGTTGCCGTAGCGATCGCTCCGCCTACACGTGATCTCATATGTGATACTGTGGGATGGTTAATCTGTTGTATTCGTGTAGGAAGAGCTAGCTATATATATTACATATGAGATCACGTGTAGGCGGAGCGGTCGCTACGGCAACGCCACTAGGGCGGATGCTACACCCCCCCTCGCATCGCCATGTGAGATCACAAACATCATAATAAAGAATCAATCATCTCTTGCAAATCTAGCTATGTCATTCTCAAATCCATTCAAATCATGCTACCTGCATTGAGTTTGTGTATTCTGTCCCTCTTCACCTGTAAAACCTAGTAAATCAAGAAATTAATAAAATGCAACTGTGCTCAAGAGTTTAGTCAATTCATCTGCTGTCATTTCTTCAGTTAAGATGTAATCAATTGAGATTATGTCATTATTCAACTGGCTGCAGGTGTAATGAAATCAGGTGTCAATATACTTACTTCTTATGATGATTGCAGTCACTGTGACAAGATCAATCATCTTCTTATTATTTATCTTGATTGACAGAGAGTCTTCTGTTTCAATAAAGCTCAGATTCATCATTATACTTCTTAACTATATTACTTTATATACAGCTTTGCTCAACACTACATATTCAGTCTCATTAGAGCTTAAGAATACATAGAGTTGCTTACTTGATTGTCATGAAATCAGTGCATTTCTCAATTTGAAAATATAACTGAATATAGATTTATAATCATTATTCAATGAGCTGATCTAATCAGAATCTGTATATTCAATCAGTATATATATTATATTCAGAAATTTATTCTCAGATCTCTCATTATTATTCTTCATATAGAATATATCAATCTCACATATTTCTTTCAAATATTAAATAACATGTAATAGAGTCTTTCATATCTTAGAGATGAGAGCAGTGTTCTTCTGTATCAGTAGAGATATTATACAGATGATATTTAACTGTAGCTTGATAACTAAGTATTGCAGACACTCAACATTATACTGAAATTATCACTTTGTAAAACTACTTTCTTTTTCAGAGATAGAGAAGTTATCTAGACATAGATTCTCATTCATGAGTGTACAGACAGCAGTTATATCATCTAGATGAAAATCTTCTATCAATTTATTGATATAATATTGAAGTGTTAATTTGATTTTACTCTTTATATATTTCACTTTCATTTCTAAATATTTTGTGAGTTTCTTTAAGTCTTTGATCTCTAGTTTTTACTGTAAAATGTTGATAAGTCAATCAGCATTCTTCAGAGCATCTGCAAAGATATAAAGATTATTAATATATATAATTATATACAGGTGTTTTCAGGCTGAATGCTTTCAAAAAGCAGAGTCATAAGAACTCAGACTGAAGTCATTTTCTCATAGTATAGCTGTTAAGTAGTCATATTATATTTTAACAGCTGAATTCAATTCATATAGAGATTCTTCAACTGTATAGATAAGTATACACTGAGTTTCTTATTCAAAGTCTGTGAGTTATCTTATATAGACTGTTTTCTTTAATCTATTATATAAATATATTATTACTATATTTACTTACTGTAGAGTTCAATCATACTTTATAGCAATTATAAACATTATTTAATTTATTATATCTGTAATCACAGAGATATAAGTCTTCTGATAAGTGTCTTTCTTTAATCAGTTATTATATACAACTTATTAAGATTTTCATAATATATTATTCTCATCAGTATTGAAATTATCAGAGTGATTCTTTTCAATGAATATTCAGTGATCAGATGTCACTGATTCATTATATAAGACATCAGAATATAAAATAAGTGTTCAGATCTTGTATCTCTCAAGGTCAGATATTTTATATTGTATTGATTTCTTTCAATAATCTCTCATCATCTCTGATCTACTTATAGCATTCTTGTGTGATTTCAGAAGAAAATCAGTAATGAAAATGAAAGTGTAAGCTATAAATGTCTTCATCAGCCACATTCAATCTGTACTTATCAATTCAGAAATATCAGAATTCTTTATTAAATAGATGATAGAAACAGTGTCAGTTGCTACAGTTGTAGTAGTTATAGTAATCTTCAGCATTTCTTGCACTTTTACAGGGAAAATCACATCACTTATATCAATAATTTTATCTATTATAGAACTCTACAAGTGATAGATTGAACATTCACAGAATTCAATAAGCTTATATGAATCAGTCTATGCAGATAACTTATTTAACAGCTTCTGTGATTCATGAAGATGAGTAAAAACATCAGTTTCAAGCTTATGAAAATGTGTGATCTGCAGCAGAGTGTTTGTCAATACTGAAAAAGAAATTATATGAGAGCTATGAACAGCTTCTTTACTATCATCATCTGCAACTAGACTGACCGTGTGACCGTGTCTGAGACCAGGATCAGATTTTTTAATAGTCTCATTATCAATTCAACTGATCTCATTACACAGTTTTAACATTAGATAGTAGTCTCATACTGTCTCAGTGAGACTTACTGTCTACTCTTATCACATTTTCCAAATGAGATCATGATTTTCACTTCTCAATTTAAATTATTTTTATTGCTTTAAATGACTTTAAATCTCATTTGAGTGTTATCAAAAAGTGTTACTTTTTAAAAAATTAAAAATAGTCTAAAAAAAACCTTAAAATGTCTAAAAATAGTAACTTTATGTCAAGAATGGAACTAAATGGAACCAAATGAGATCACTTTCTCATTTTTTTCAAGTCATGGTTTCATTTTAAGATCTGATATATAGTCACTTTACATGTTTTTTTAATAGCCAGTCTCAGCGGGATTCACACCAAGAAATGTATGAGACCAGATCAAATGAAACTAAACGTGAAATTCATGATCTCAGCGGCCAGTCTATCTGCAACTGCAGATCAATACTTTTCATTATATAGAATCATAGATGTGAGTGTATTATTTATGATTAAAACAACTGTTTTCAGAATGTTTATTCAGAATTTCTTCAGAATCTTCTTACTGATAAGAACTGCTCTGATGTGAGTCATAATTATACATATTCTGCGCTCAGACATATCATCTTGATGTGATAATTGAGAAGTAGTTAATTCTCATACTGTGTTATGATTGATGAATAATGCTGTAATCTTCATGAATCTGAATACATTATTAACATCAGTTCTGACATATGCTAGTACAGTAAAACCTAGATTCTTCATGAATTGAACTCAGTGTGTATAGTAATTATAAGCTTAGTTCTTAATGTATAAGAAATAGATTCATCTATATCTGATCACATTATTCATAATTAACATGTAATATTTATTACTCTGTCATAATTTAATAGAGTGATTCATAGACTCACTTAATGTTCACTCATCATCTGCAAGATTAATATGAATTCTCTTCATTGAGTGTACAGCTCATAGTATAAGAGTGATTGAGTATTTACATATCATACTCACTTTAACATAGGTTTTATAAAAGAAATTGATCTTAGTGTTTTTGACATAGATATCAGATAGTAAATTCTTTATCAATACTATAATAGCTTCTATGTGTATATGTCTCAGATTAACATATCACTCTGTAAGTGTTTTTGTAATTGTAGATGATTCTTGATATTGAGATTGATTAACAGTGAGATTATTATCATCAATAGTAATCATGACTTTAGCATAGTCATTATCATATATATATGATTTCACTGTGAAGTAGACTGCTTTAGACTTATAATATACATTAACTTCTGATATTCTCTCAACTATTTTATAAATTGAGTTTTGAGATGTACAGATTGCAGTGAAAATCACTTCACTTAATACTTTAATAATAAAATAGAACAGAGTGTTTAAGCTTAAAAGCTTATATTGAAAATTCTGATTCTTCAATCTAGTGAATGATAATAGATTGACTGTGAGATTGAAAATATAATGAATATCACAGACAGTGATATTCTCTTCTTCAGATTCTAGAAGAAAATCACTGATCTCTTTAATATGACTGTAATCTCTGTTCACTGTATGAATCTTCATATTATCATCATACATTTTTCACTGAATGAGAGACTGCTTTTCATCTGTCATATGAAAACTCACACATGTGTCAAGAAATCAAGGTTTGCTTGTTATATCAATAGTTGCTGAAAAAGCAATTGTCACATTGACAGCTGCAGATTGTGAGACTATAAAATCAGAGAATTTCTTCTTCTTATCATCTTTATTCTTCTTTTTACTCTTCTGCTTATCATATCTGCTGATACTGATATTGTTGCTATTATTCTTCTCAGATGTAATAATATGTTTCTTATTTAACTTATATCACTGTTCAGTAGTAAGTTCTGAATACAGATATTAACAGATGTTTTTTCAGTGTTATCTTGAACTGTATATCTCACATTTGAAACTGTATACAGATAATGTAGAGAAAGTCATGATAGTTATATTAACTTACTGAGACTTAGAATGTTCATTCTTGAACTTACTTATACAGTTTGTCAACTATTTCATGAGATTATTAATATTAATATTGTATATAGAGTTCTGATCAGACATGTAGAAATTGTCTAAATATATCTTGATAAAAGACTTTTGATACTTCTTCAGATTAATAAGAAAGAGATTATAATAAAAGTCTTCTGAGTTATTTATCAATTTCTTATAATATATAACTAGATAATAGAATCTTCTCTGAAATACTAGATAATTATTATCTCTGACATGTAAGATAGTGAATTCTTTCACAATATTTATATATTTCTTCACAAGTGAGACAGTATATTCAACTTCAATTCTTTCTCATAGCACAGCTGCATTATCTGGCTCAAGAGTTTCAATAATTATATATACAGATTCTAATAAGAACTGTAACATACATTAATACAGTGCTTTGATATAAATGCTTCATTTTTCAGCATTTAATGTGTCTTGACTGATGTCTTCTGAACAGATATATTAATTCTTTATAAGAATATCAGATCTGTTAATAACTTCAGCATCTGTAAGAATTTCTGTACATCAGATCTTATAGTTATTATTATCAAATATAGTTACAGCTTTGATATCTATGACTTTTTGAACATTCTTTTGATATTTGTGAATCTCAGATTTGAAATTATCTGCTGCAGAAATAACTACTCAATATGTGCTTATTCTGTCACAGAATATTATCAGATTATTAAATATCATTGATATTATATTATCTGAACTCATTCTAGACATGATACTTATATGTCACACTTCTATATATATTACTTATGAGCTTGAAGTATCATTATTCAATTTATAATCTATTTCACTATTTATAGATGACTTTATAATCTCTTCTATAACTTCTGTGTATTGTATAGTATCTATTTTCTCTGATTCTTTATTAATAGATGTCTGAGTGTGAGAATATAAATGTAAAGTTCTTCTTCTATCACTCTGTGATATAGATATACCACTCATCAGTCAAAGAAGAGTTGAATGAAGAAATTAAAAAGAAAAAAAATGTGTTATATTATATTATAGAGTTCTGCTATTTCAATCACTGACTAAGTAGATACACTTGAAACATGCAATGTAAATGTGATAAAAGAATTCTTCTATTCAGAGTGAACACATTCAATGCTTACACAGGTGTTTTTAAACAAAAGTAAAAAAAAAAAAATGTAATTCTTTGTAAAAACATGCTATTCAGGCTATAACCTGTGGGATGGTTAATCTGTTGTATTCGTGTAGAAAGAGCTAGCTATATATATTACATATGAGATCACGTGTAGGCGGAGCGGTCGCTACGGCAACGCCACTAGGGCGGATGCTACAGATACCTAGGTAATGTCAGGAAGCAGAAAACTTGTAATGTTGGATGTCTGAGTGGTTGTATTATTAATAATTGGTTCTATCTAGTGTGGGTTAATATGCTTGGTGCGGGGCGCTAGTCCGTACTAGGAAGCCTAGGGCTTCAACACCCCGCATTCCCAATGACAATGAGCCTTTGGAAATAGTTCTGAGCAATCTTATTCTTTTTCTATCTCTTAAAAGACTGATACCTTATAAAAGAACTGCTACACATCCTTTCTCCTATTAGACTACTCCGCAAACAATCTGTTCATCATGCCGAGAAAATCGCCTGGAAATAATACAGCAGTAAATACCAGAAAGGTAAGTTTTAAGTTCTACTTCCAGAGCACCCTCATGTTGATCTTCGCAGCTGCTTGTTTAACTACTTTTTACATTACTACTGCAATAAAGAAGCTAAGAATGGTTCTTCTAGTCTAATGTGACCGGGTATGCCAACTTCTATTCACGTACTCTATGGGCAAATATGAACCTATACTTAAAATGTTTAACTATTGATATCTTTCCCACAGGATCACCACCACCACCACCACCACCGACAACAACAACAACAACAACAACAACAACAACAACGTGACTGGAGAAGGTTCTTGCAGTGAAGGCAACAAGGTTCACAGCAAGGCTAGAATCGTTAAGGACGGATGAGGTAGTCGTGCCAACTTCCAAGCTTCATTTGGACTGTGTATGGGCCCCGACAGTCTTGAAGAGGGGAATCGTATTTTGGACGCTTTCCAAAAGCATGACAAAGAGAATGAAGTATGTATTGCATTTTTGCCTTTGTGAATAACTAGCTAAATGCCTATGTATTATTAGCATGCCTAATGCACATACTATCGTGGAGTTCATGTTTGAGCAGCCAGGGATAACCTCCGCGGAGGACAATTGGGCCTACCCCTACCATAGCCATCGGGATTTGTCTGGTTTCTCCTTTCATCAATCCTGAAACAGTTTAATGAGTACACTGATCTTGGGGCAGTTTTAACTGACTCGGCACTCTCCCGGCTCATATCTGCTTCCAGTGATTTTTGTGATATCAATCTGTCATCTTTGCTGGGTTTGCTCTCAAAGGTATATTTTGTCCTTGAATGTTGTTTGAGATCTTTTGTTTACACTAGACTGGTATAGGCTTCTTGTAGACTCAACTTCAAAATGTCTTAAGAAAAGAATGCTACTTCTTTATTAATTGAGAAGGCTGTGCTGAAGCCTCATCTGAACCCTCATTCAGAGGAATTTATCTGGTATGTTCATACTTCATTCTTTCATAACTTCATGCTTAATAAGTTATAGAATAATCAAGTATGAAACTGTGAAAGATCTGAATATATATCTGACAATTGCACATGCAGTCTTTGATAAAATTAAGTCTAAGAGTGATCAATAAACATCTCAATCAGTTTAAAGACTAATATTCATCACATATTATCATCAGATAAGATGCAGAGATTTGATATTTTCAGATACTATCTTTAATACTCTCAAGATAATATGTCTTAGTGATTTCACACAATGAGTTAAGAAAGTTAAAGAGAGTAAAGAAAAAGATTATCTATATAACAGATAAACTTGAAGCACTTATAACATGAAGAGAAGACAATGTAATTCTCTTAAACATAATACTATACTAGAGCTGCTTGACACTATCTCTTTAAATTAAGAGATTCTGAAGTAAATTTTCTGCAGAGACTCTATTCAAATGTTTAGAGATTAAATTTAATAATTTCAATGAAAAATTAAAGCAGTATTCTTCAGATGTGTATTGAAATACATTCTCTCTTCTTTCTCTATTCATCTCTTTTCCTAATACTCAATGTTTTCTTCAGTACATCCTCTCTTAAAGAAGTTACATTCAAGCATCAAGGCTTTATCTCTTCTCATTCTTCCAAGAGAAATAATATGCCGCCGCATATTTTGAGCCTCAGGATTACTATGCCTTCAGCAAATGCTGCCCTGAGATTTTTTGTGCAGCTTCTTGCACTCACATTACTGTTCAGATATACTCACTGCTAACATTTATGAGATGATACTGATTTCATTCTAGATGTATATTTCTCATACTCTAGATGCCAGATTAGCTGATCAAGAGCAAATCAGCTATTTTATCACTATAGAGTGTACTGTTCTCAGAATGAATGTGATGAATGCAGGCTGTCTCTATTTTATGAATCAGATTAACCGCGCAGCTAGCTTTCTTCTAAATGAGGGTGTTCTTTGTTACCAGGACGATGATGGCATTGGAATAATGAATCTCTCCTTGGGTCGCCTCCAACATCTTACGGCAGGGACGGGAGGGAGCCCCGGAGGCGTACCCGGCTGTTGTCGTCGAGGCATCAAATGAGTTGTGGTTTCTGCTTCAGCTCCAAGTGTGCTTTCTTCTGAAGACATTGTGATAATGAAGGTGGGGCAATGGCCAGGATGAACCCATAACTATTCCTATTTGGGTCTAGTTCTAGTAGTACGCGGGCCCCCAGGCGAGGGAGGAAGCTTATTGTGCAGGGCCTCGCGCTGTTTGGTTTTCTCGACTGTGGAATTGCTCATGAGCCAGGTCGCGATACAATGACAATGTCGAGGAAACAACGAAAAGCGAATATTTTCTTCTATGCTGCCTTTAATCTGGCTGAGCTTATTGAGCTGGCTCAACGACTGCGCAATGTGACATGCTCGTGTGATTCCACGCAAAAACCATTCAGTGGAAGTTTTAACTGGGCTGTCGTCCTCACTTTTGTGGACGGAGTTGAGTGGCTGTTTCGAGCGCCTCGGACAAGTTACGGCCTTGAGTATGCTGTTACTCAAGCTACTTAACGGCAACCGACCGGTGGAATGATTTTGTGACTCTTGACTCTAAGATTGAAAACAGCCGGAACAGGTTAGATTATTATGTTGCTGGATTGTGCCTTGAGGAAATGATACCGAGCCTTGTTAATGACTTGGAAACGAGATGTGGTGAACCCGGCGGCTTTCCTTTACACCACCTCGATCTCAGTCTGAACAACATTTTCATTGACAATCATTGCAACATAACATGTATTATTGACTGGGCATTCTCATTTTTTGCGCCATCAACAATACTTCTCTCCACACCCGGCCTACCACACCCAAGGGACGAGTGCAAACCTTCGCTAACATGCGCATTCAGGTCTGGGTTCATCAATAATGGCGTGACAACTTGCTCTGATGCCTGGAAAAAGACTAGAATGGCTTGGCTTTTTATGCGGCTGGTCAGTCTTGACGGCTTGCAAGACTATCACTATTTTACAGAGCTTTACTTGTTGATCAACAAACAGCCTGCTGAAGAGCTGTTTACAAAATTTCAGCAACAATACGCGAAACATGAGGTTATGAACATGCACTGGATCCTTTCCGCGGACGACCAGTCACCAAGTGAGATCAAGCAAAGTGAAAAAGTCTATTTTGTGAATGTGGGCGCTGAGCGGCATGCTCTAGCTCTCAAGATTAGACTAGTATCGATGTTGAACAGGTCATTTGTTGCTGACAGACAGCTTTGGCATTGGATTGAAGAGGTGGTAAGTGAGCAAGAGAAAGAAAGCCTTCAAGAAGGATAGATTGCTCATGAAATTGTGTTACCATGAGCTATATTATTTCAATAGGAAAAAACCACAGAGTCTTATCAGCATACACTTGAGTGACCTTCAGCCATGAACAACCTGCGCACAGGAACCTCGAGGTAAAAAAAAAAGAACAGATTCGCTCCAAAGCCAAAATAATCCTTATACTCCAACTAAAAGCAGAGGTGACCAGATAAAAGTATAAGATCCAGAAAGCAAATGTCAGGTGTCCAGGTAGTAAAGGCTGCAATGAGTCCCGCGTCCATGCACTCACAACAACTAGCCTATCAACAGGATGTAGCAATTAAGACAGAGCTTCTACCACATACACAGATCTTAGATCTTAGCATCCGAATCAACCTACCGAGCTACCACAAGGACAGAGACGTTTTTCACTACAACATTCTACCGCTATTTCCTCCGGGTTTCCATGATATTTGTCACCTCCCTGCGCTTGAAGAATTCAAGGTAGAGTCGTGAGCACTCTTTGCCGGTACCCCCGTCCTTCTGCCATGCTATATTGGCTTCTGCACGGATCTCCGCAGCACAATCCTTATAACGGCCGTCCCGATAGCAATCGTCCATTGCCACTACCTCCAAACCAGCCTCTTTCACCATGCTCTTTGCAAACTTGCGTGCCTCCTTGAAGCTTCTTCCATCGCCAATTAGCAGGTGCAACTCATCAGGATCTGTTCCATCAAAGGGAAGCGCGTCAAGACAGGCGAGTTCGCGATGCTCGTGGTCCACGCTAAAGATGATCATGGCCCCAGGAGAGAGATACTGCGCTAGATGGTGGAGAAACTGCTTCAGTTTGGCTGGCGCAACCACCTGCATCACCCACAGTAGAAGGATCCGATCAAATGTCTTGAATTCCAAACTCTGAAGGCGAGGAAATTGCTTGAGGTCATGCATATCTCCTTTTAGGAACTGGATGTTCTGCAATCCCCGGAGGGTGGCGGTGATGGATGCTTGACGAAGACATCCTCCACTTGCATCAATAGCAACAACACAGCCTTCGGGCCCGACTTGAGAGGCGGCCTGCGCGGTCACCCACCCTGCACCACAGCCGAGCCGAGCTCCAGAACTTTCTGACCTGGCTGAATGTCGGCAAATTTTATAAAGGGACGGATGTCACCGGCGTGATGCTGAAAGCTCTGTTGGTAAACGGCGCAATTGCATCGTACTCTTTCTTTGCTGTATCATAGTTCTGCGCAGTATTCTTGACAATTCGCTCGCGTTCCTTCTTCTGCTCTCCTTCGTAGTGTTCAGCCACGGTCGGAGGCATGGTGGCCTGCTGATACGGTTAGAACAGCACATGAAGATCCTATTCCTGGGACACTGCTTAGAAAGTGGGATAGATACTTACCAGAAAGTTTTGAGCCCTGGTAAGATAGACTGGACGAGGACAAGGAGGAGAGGGAGAGTAGGCGAGAGAGCGATCAAGTAGTGGAAGAGGAAGAGTGCAAGCAAGAGGAGGTGTACGCGTTGTAACAACACAATCGAAATTGAAATATCTTCACTTCACTCTAGCAACACAATAATCTAGCGAGATCAACAACCGACTTTCTGGCATTTCGGCCCCAAATAATCGGGATAAGAGCAATGTGGACAATGAGCCAGTCGATTCAGAGAGCATTGGAAGGGATTAGCAGCTGCTTCACATACAGAGGCCACATTCGAGTGTATCAAGCCACCCAGTTTTGGCGATACCGGGGCCTTATTGGATATGAGGTGGCAAAAGGGCTGAGATGCTGCATAATAAATAATGGGAAGAATCCCTAAGCTGTGTTCTAGTGCTGGCGCACATCGGGGTCAGACTTATAACCGGACTAACCTCATCATTTTATATGTAAATAAGACGAGGACGCTTTGACGTGCCCATCTGATCAGAAGACCTTTTCAAGGGCTTAATCCGCTTTTCTGATGGTCGGTGGTCTGCGTGAGATTTGTGGAGGTCAATTATCAAGACCCGGCGCAACTCATTGTTCCATAACATATTCTCACGCCGTAAATCATCGTGCACGACACCCAGCTTGCGGATTTTTTTTTATTGATCTGGAAATCTCATTTCTCAGCATCGAGCTTTGCTCAACTCTTTATAAACTTTCTCCTCCCCAACCCATCAGAAGCATATGACGGATCTCCCCAGCGCCGTGCAGAAAATATATCCATTTCAGGTCAATTGCTCCTAAAAATACAGGAACGGCGGAGCCTTGTGCTTTCTGAAGAACCCGATATATATCTGCTTCGCGTGAGACCTCCTTCCATGAGATAGAAGAGTGTTTCCCCGAGAGGACGGAATCGGCCCTGCGCCAGTGGCAGTCGACGCTTCGACGAACGAAGAAATAGACGCGTTTAGCAGAACCCGCCGCCGCTGACATCCGCGTTAGCAGTAATTAAAACTGATTGCGAAGCCATTAGGCAATAATTAATTCTGCCTCAAAAGTGCCAGTTGCCTTCATTCTTACGCAAGAAATCTGAATCCGCCAGTACCTTTCCGTGAACTCATGATAAGCACTTTCATGATATCCAACTCTAGATATAGAACATCGTATCCTTCAGGTTTAGGTGGATCTGCACATCATCGGCACTAGGCTGCGCCGGCTCCGAACAATGATATGCGTTCACACTTGTTTGGACTGTCTTGGACAGAGCGTGTTGGTGAGAACTGGGGTATATAATCATTGCAAAGATAAACGGGCACTTCGCCTCACTGTGGTGTCATTCATGGGAAATCAGAGACACTCTTTGAACGGACATTAAGAAGCGGAAAATTGATCCATATAAATAGAGCGGCGCGCTCGGCCACCCCATTATTGTAACTTCTAGGAGCCCGCACGGCCCTGAAAGTATCGCGGAACTGCATTGTGGTGGTGTCTGCTTTACGGTTAAGCATGTCAATCATTGCTCCGCACTGTGACACTCTAGCAAGCCAATTACAATTCAATGGAGAGGGTGCGTCCCGTTTGATCGGATATGAGCCAAGAAGCTAAGCCCCGCTCAGTCATGCGGTTCGGCGGCGGCAGAGAGTTGGCATGCGGTGTGGGTTAAAACCAGCCTGGCATCCTTGGAGAGACGAAAGTGGCTGGCGACCTCTCCTAGAAGTGTTTCTGCCTGCTCGAAGTCCCAACTGAAAGCAATGTCTCTACCCTACCCTTGTTCCAGGCTCTTGTCTTAAACGATGCGGAGGTTAGAAAGGATCTCTGGCACTACAAAGGCTCGGAAATTGACTTTGTCAAGTTGCTTCGCTCGGTTTCCAATCTGCAGACGCAACTTGAAGTCCAAAACCGCCTGATGTTCCACCGAGAGACTGCTGCGAGAATATCCAAGCAATAAAGCACTCCCGGATCAGCAGGCTACAAGAATCAAACATTTTCTTTGATTCGTGTTTGAGGCGATGTGATACAAGCAGAAGATCACAGCTCCGCACCCTCGACTGCTCATCACTGAAACTTTGTAGGCTTTCATACACCATCCATGAAATAGTCGAATTGTCCTCTCAGGCCTTTGAATTCCTCGTTGGGAATGCCAAAGATTTTGTGAACCAGCGCGGCCTGGAGTTACTTCTTTGCAGGGACAACATTAATAAGGTGGTGCTCGGCGACTTCAACCCGGAGAATGAGGATGAATTTGAGAAGTTCCTGACAAGTTTGTCATCTATTCACCTGAATACCGTTGGCTACAAAACTAAAGAATGAAAAAGCATATATAGAACTATGCCTTGCTCAGTGAAAATGTGTGACACCTTCCAGTCATCAAGTCACAAGAGAGCTGGCTGCTGATGTTCAGCAGCAAGAAATTGAGATTCTGTGACCACTCAAGCGCGCCCGCGCAGAGGAGAGATTTGTCAAGAATGAAGAGATAAGACATGAGAGACTCATTGCATTATGTACAGTGAAAATTACTAACAACTTAGTAGAAATTCAATATATGTATTCAAACAGTTCTAGAAGTCACATTTCACTCTTGAGTGACTTTCTCTCAGATGCAGTCTGCACCAGCTGTCAGTGAGATATGGAAAGAAGTTTAGATGAGCTCACAACTGATTGTCTTACTACTCTGTCTAAAGATTCAATACAAGATATATTCATCACTTTATGAGTTGGCCAGGAGGCGGGACTTTGAATAAATGATATCTTCAAGCTTGTTCTGAAGTGGTGATTCTTACTCACTCATGAAGGACTCTAAATTGATATCTCTTTGAGACACGACTGGTGCTGTACTCTGATTTCTTATCCCACTTTCAAAGTAGTTTCTCCGGGGTGTTCAGGTCAAAGACAGTAATTAACATGTCTCTATCTATTACTCAGGTATCTTTCTCAGTGATGGGAAATAAGTGACTTGACAGATATTCTTTGCTTCCGCTCAATGCAAGCTTGTCACACTATTATACAGCTTCATTAGTTTTGATAGGAAGAACAGATCTTTTTTTTTCAACACTCACTTTGGAATCTGAATGTGCGGACATATCCTGATGATCTCATGAGTTGTCAGCAACTGGAAAACAAGCTAGCCTCCATTAGATACATATGTCTTAAATAAGGCCTATTTTCTGAGTATGGCATACACAGATGCTCAGCAGGGTGCTCCGATGACAGCAAGAGTAGTCAAGGAGTAAAGGCCTAACTTCATATTTTTGTCTGTAAGTGCACAAACAGCACAAATTATATTGACAAATGCTGCTTAGGATACCTTGGTGTTTCTGGTTGCTGCCAGATAGCCAATTTATTTCATGTTGGCTTGGAATTCTTCATTCGAATATTTTTGAAAAGCCCCGCCATGCGAGAGCAGTCGCGCGTGAGGGGCTCATGACGTCGTAGCCGTTGGGCAGCATTGACTGCCACCGTTTTGGGCTGACAATAGCATGGTGAGCCAGATCCGCCTCAGCAGGGGTTATTACTCAAATTTTATTAGGCACCATACCCAGCCCAATAAAGTGCTGTCCCCACCCTGGTCACGATCTCAGGCTTCCGCATCCATGGATATTCATACGTTACTGTCCGGGCCGCATCCATCCGAAACTCTAATTCAAGCTCAACCGAAGCTCTCGACGTGTTATCACACCGTGTACTTTATCTTTGCGTGAGAATCTTGCTCTTTTCCTCATTCTCCACAAATTGACCCCGTCACCCGACTTCCTTTCATTCCAACTAGCGATATTTTTCCCTGGTCATGGTTGAGCCCGTTAGGGAATCCGTGAAGCAGGTGGATCCGTCCAGATGGCTTATTGGCAGCCTCATGCTTCGTCGCTCGAGCTTCGCTTCTGACACTGCCACCTGGAAAGATGATGGCGACAATTCGAATTACACGCTCATGGACGCGCCTACTCCCCGACCACCTACAACCCCTTTGCCACCGAACGATCCCCATCTTGCCCTGGTATACGATGCTGGCGATAGCTCCGCAGTATGGTCCATCGGGCATAACGCGTTCTGCAAAGTCAAATTGATCGTTCGGGGTACAACTCCTGAAGTCGCCACGTTGGAGTTTCTTCACAGTCAGCGAACAAGAGGATTTGAGGTTCCAAAAATTTTACACTATGTCGAATGCGGCGATCGGTACTACCTGTTTATCAGCAAAATACCCGGTCGGACTCTGATGCAGGCATGGCCTAATCTTAATGCGTATTGGAGAGAGTACTATGTGAAAGCTATCATGGAAATCTGCAAGAATCTTGCAGATTGGAAAGGACACATGCTTGCTGGCGTTGACGGTAAATCCGTTCCTGAGCAATACCTCATTAAGGATGGAGCGGCCAAAGACTACAGCCCCATGAATCTACAGAAAGCATGCGAGGAGATAGGCATGGACTGTTCGAACTTCGTATTTTACCACGCCGATCTTGGTCCAGGGAATATCATCGTCGAAAATGACCCAAAATCCGGGGCAATTGGCATCATTGATTGGGAAACAGCGGGTTATTTCCCTCGAGGTTGGGTAAGAACTAAGTTTCGAATCTCCTCTGGAATGAACCTTGGCGCCGATGTCACTGAGCCTACCTCATGGAGATCTAAAGTCCAAAAATTACTCGGGGACCAAGGATTTGAAGATTACTCTAACGCGTGGCAGCTATGGTGGTATTAAAGCTGGATCTACGTGTACGGGAGCGTATTGAGTGTTAGGTGAAATAGATTCTTTGGTCTGCTCTTTTATAACAAATGTTGACATCTCCTTGTAAGCGCCTTGACGAAATAGTCCCCCATCCACCACAGACTCATCCACGGCGTTCGATGCTATTCTTCTATAAGTGAAGGATAGTCAGTAACAGTTAAAATTCCCAGCCCAGTGGAACTTCTACCTTGCGTCGCATTTTGCCCTTAAATTACTTGAGGA